TAAAACTGATACGCATGCTTACTTTACTAGTGGTGGGTTGGCAGGAAGCTTCATTTGTAACACTAAGGAGCTGTCTTCTTCCCCTGTGTTAGTCAATCCTGCCTTGTCCTTCAAAAGTCAACCCAGATTCCCCTTCCTATTTTGAAAACTAGCAATCTCACACTCCCAGTCTTTTTGAGCACTTAACTGTTTCCATTTCCAGTTTGTACTTCTAATTGATTGAACTAATGGTACAAATTTGAACAAGTCACTGTTCCTCTCCAGTCCTGTTTCCTCATCTGTTTTGCCACTGATGCCAAGTGTTTAGTACAGTACCTGGCATGTATACTGAAGTGAATGGTAGGACACAGTTCCTGCTCTCATAGTGTGTGTAGTCTAATGTAAGAAGAGACTTATGTAGAGTAAATAAATACATAATCACAATTTGCGACATATGCCAGGAGAGATTGACTGGAACAAATGCACTGGTGGAGAGTAGTGAGGAGGGATGCATTTGAAGAACCTCGTTAAGTTATCAGAGAGGTCTGAAGGATGAGAATAACTAGTCATGTGAATTAGAGGGGCTGAAGAGAACAGGATATGCAGAGGTACTGAGGTAGGAAATAATGTGTGAGGAACCAACAGAAAACTGTTGTGGCTAGAGACAGTGTATCAAGGACAGATAGGAATGTGAATAGATACATGAGGCAAAAATGGTAAGCTGGAAAATTGTCAGTTACTATAAGTGGTTCTCATCGTTTCAAGTATCAGCCAAGAATTAGGCAGTGTGATGCTTCATATTAGATTAGTCCAGACTCCTGGAGCATAGCTTTTAAATACACACCCCTTTCTTTCTCTTTTGCCCATAGGAAACAGAGGGGACCTACCCAGCCCTCTGCCGTGGCCTTAATGTTAAACGGCATTAGCTTACAGTATCTACAGGTGGAAATTACTAAGAGGGATAATTATTGCCCTCAAAACTTGCCTAACTGAGCTTTGTGCAACATATTTTGGGAGTTTACCAGCATGGTTTGTTTTGACACAGATGATGATCTATGTTGAGACTTGTCTCTGGATTGAAGACTTAGTGGCTTGGTGGGGCATGGAGACAACGCAGCTCTTCCTTTTCACCAGACGCTTTTATATGCTAGGTAGCTCATAACTTAGTGCGCACTCCTCCTCTCCCTGCTAACAGATAGTTGTTTGCCTTTCGTTCTTCCTGTGTTCTACTGTCTGACTAATCTGTACACCCTGTGTTGATCATGTCTTTCCTCACTCTTCTTTGCCTATTTTATCAACTTAGGAACTGTATTTAAATAAGTCTCTAGTCACCTCCACCTTTTCTTTTAAAATTCAACCAGAGTACACTCAGATCTTTTTTGCTATCTTCTGGACCTAATCCTGCTTTCCTCAGGAACCCACCTCCCTTCAACCCAGGCTAGTTTTCTTGGCATGGAATAGTGGAAGAAGCCAAATGACTTTAAAACAGACCTAATTTGCCTAGGAGAGTGCCAAGAACTTTTTCAAGGCTAATACCTTCTTTCTGCTAAGGGTATTCTTGTGCCTTCTCATTGTGCTCTAGGACTCTGGATCAGGGATTCAATGTGTAGGTCTTGACCAAAGAAAGCCAATTTGGTGCTCAACTGTGCTACAGTGAAAGACATCTGATTTAGAGTCCCACTGATCTGGGTTTGAATGACAGCATTCCTTCTCATCAGTTCTGTGAAATTTGGAGGTCATTTACCTTTCTGACCCTTTCTGTTCTTAATTTCAGGCGTCTGCACTGGTTTTCCTCTGTGCTAAAATGCTGGGGACCTGATGGAAGTTTACTATCTTAGTAGACATTTTATTGGGGATTTTGGAGCAAGCAATTGCAATGGCCACCCTGGTTACTGTTTTCAACATTTTGAATTTTAGAACTGGTTGATAGAGTAGTAATAAGGAGGAAAAAAAGTCTGGCAGAAATGAGGCTGGGAAGCAATGCTGCTTTGGGAAGCTGTGCATGAAACTTGGAGAAAAGAAATCCATCCTGTAGAAAATTCCTTCTAGGGCTGGGGTTGTGGCTCAGTGACAGAGTGCTTGCCTTACATAAGTGAGGCACTGGTTTCGATCCTTAGCACCACATAAAAATAAATAAACAAAATAAAGATATTGTGCCCCTGTATAAGTAAAAAATGTTTTTTTTTTTTAAAAAAAGAAAATTTCTTCTAAGTCATATGCTCTTGGATTTCTAGATTTCATGTCTTTAATGAATAGTACCTTACAGACATGTAGTTCTAGGATTCAGTGGAGGCATCTAATTTCCAAAAACCRGTCTCTTTCAAAAAAATAGTGAACTGTACCCAAAAGTACATTTGCATTTTGGACAATAGTGTGAAGTCATAGGCTTTCCAGTAATCCTGTCCTGTGAGTCATAATTTTGGTCTTCACCTCCTCCACCTCTTGACATTAACCTTCTTCATCCTCCCTACTTCCACGTGGCTGTGCACCTGGGAAAATAGGACATGCAGAGGGGATTTGATAAAGTCAGATCCATACCTCAAATCTTTGTTAAGAATTTTAGAGTGAGGCAGCCCCCAGCTCAAATGCCAGGTTTCCTGCTCTCGTTGCCTCACACTGGCAAGTTATTTTTACCTCTCAGAACCATTTCCTCGGCTCCAAATGAGATGATTGTTATGGCACCCCAAGAAGTACATACTTTGCAGTAGGAAATTCATGGCTATTTGTGTCCTGTTCCAGGAGTGCCAAATTTCCATTCTAAGGAAATACTTAATATTTTATCTAGTCTCTTTGTTTATTTTCCAGGCTATCTTATACCAATATTTTAGTGACTGGTTATTACGATGCATAAGAAATAAATACAAAATAATTTTAAACACTCAGTGTCTTATACTCAGATTTTATCACAATGTTAATAAAGAAGAATAACACCTAATTTGCTCAAATTGCACAAGTCAGTATGTTTCAGGGGCAGTGTAGATATTCAAGTTACTGTAAGTAAAATAGACAAGACTCAGCAATTTTCCAGGTTGCAAGAACTCTTCACCTACTTCTTGGTCACGTGTTTATTTCTCAACCCCACCTGCATTCTAATAACACAGCTGTCATTACTTTGAAGTAGGGTTTCTGCTGGGACTGTAAGGGAACAAAGTTTTCTGTAATAGATGAAATGACATCATCTTCCCTGGGGGAGATGATTGCCATTCAGTTCACTCCTTCCTTTCCTCCCTCTCTCACTTACTCCCTCATTTACTCCCTCACTTACTTACTCCCTCTCTCATTCACTTCCTCTTTTTCTCCCCATCTCCACTTACTATGTGTTAATTAATAATCTGCATTACAACTGGCAGAATCATCTCAAATTAGAAAAACTTACAAGAGACGTCTCTCAGAAGGACTGTGCCAGGAGCAGCTGGGCTTCAGGAACAACAGGAACCAATAACTTGAATGCCATCATGATTTTATTTTCCTCACTATGCACTTCTAATTCACCCTGATCACTTTCTCTGCAGACTAGCTGTTGCATCCATTTGGTCTTGTGATAAAATGTTCCTAGTCCAGTAATTTGGGAAAGGGACACAGTGATGTAGATTGGATCCTCTACCCATGCCGGATCAGTCAGCTGTGGCCAAGAAGGTGTGATTATACAAAGATATAGTGGTTCCTTCAGGACTTACATGGATGGAGTAAGGAGGGAAGCACAAAAGAGAGATGTTCTGGAAACATCCACGTTCCCATCCTGCCATGCTAGTGGGCTTTATTGGCAATATGTTAAAAAAAAAAAAGGTCCCCAGACTGAGCTTGCTTGCATCCAAGTGGTGGAAGATGGATGTGCAACCAAACAAGTGATAGATATTGTTGGTTTTATAGTAGTGGAAGTTCAGCTGAGATGGGAGTGAAGAATAAATAGGTGAGGAGTTAGGCTAGGTCCGATGCAACTCGAATGTGCCAACAGTGCAAAGGAAGAATGAAGGATACTTTACATTTTTTGAGTTTCAGCAGCTTGTTATGTTTTAGAAAATTCAAATGATCTAAATCTTAATTTCTTTGCATAGCTGTCTAAACTGACTTAATTTAAAAGACTTCTAGCCAGACCAGTTCATTAATATGCTCTATGGCTCTGGTGGCCTGGCACTGAACTGCATTTCTGAAACACAGATTTCTTGGTTATAAGAAATATAAGACATGCTTGTTCCTTGCTGAGGAGGCTTTGCCATAGTCCCACAGTTGCTGTCAGGATGGCCTGCAGCACACCTGTAGGAGCCTCGTGTTTGTCATCCTTCATTGTGCTCTTTTTCAGACAGCATACTGGTTCTTCTTCCATCTCCTGTTGCACTGGGTGGGCTTTCTGCCTAGGGATGAGCACATTTTGCTCCAGTCTCACCGTTCTGGGTCTTGCCTTTTCTTCATCTTTTCTATTCTTGCTTGCCTAATGTTTTTGAAAATTGTAATTTATATTTTGAAACAAAGTTTCACAGGATTGTGACAATTAATGAGAGATACCTAGTACACTTTATCAAATGTTTCCCTGTAGTGACATCATCTTGCAAAACTTTTGTACAGTATCACAGCTGGGCTGTTAATGTTGATATAGTCCAGATATGGAACAGTTGCCATAATGTTTGGAGCTGTAGTTTCCCTTTTGTTATTTTTTGACTCACTCATCTCTTAGATGCTTTCCTCTGTGCTCTTATTCATTGACCCAGGGATTAAGGTGAGTCAAGGGTCCTAATAGGTTTCACCTCTGTTTGATAAGACTGTTTTCGTGTTGTCAAGAGTTTCTAGCAATGATGATTTTTTTGTTCATCTTGAAATAACTTACCTGGAGTAAATACCATTTGGTTGGTATTTTAAGGCTTAAGATAGCCTTAAAATTCAGGAGAATATCTGGCCTGCTGTGAGCTCTGCTGGCCTTAATTTCAGGCAGGTCACATGAAGGTGAAGTGTATGGGGGCTGTGATGGTACTAATTCCTTGAGATGTGGGCCCCCTAATCAAAGTTTTTTTTTTTTCCCCCAAAAGGACAGTTCTGCACAGAGGATGTGGATGAGTGCCTGCTGCAACCCAATGCCTGTCAGAATGGAGGCACCTGCACCAACCGCAATGGGGGGTATGGCTGTGTGTGTGTGAATGGTTGGAGTGGAGATGACTGTAGCGAGAACATCGACGATTGTGCCTTCGCCTCCTGCACTCCAGGCTCCACCTGCATTGACCGTGTGGCCTCCTTTGCTTGCATGTGCCCAGAGGGAAAGGCAGGTAAGGCCAATGGAAGGACAGAGCTGGAGAGTGGGGGGTGGGGCAGTGAGCATTCAGGGCTTCTGCTGTATCTTTTTCCTGGCAGCTGTGCTCCATGAATTACCATCTGTAGGAACATACCACTCAGGACTGTTTTTCGGGAAATGTTATCTGCTAGCCAAAGATCTGGGAAGTTAGTCTCCTTCTTAGGACTTCTACTTCTAATCTTCACCTGTGCTTTGGTTTGTTATCCTAGAAAATGAAAGCTAGGCTAGATGCAGTGGTGTACTCCTGTCATCCCAGCAGCCCTGGAGGCTGAGGCAGGAGGATTACAACTTCAAATCAGCCTCAGCACCTTTGCCCTAAGCAGCTTAATGAGACCCTGACTCAAAATAAAAAATAAAAAGGGCTGGGAATGTGGCCCAGTAGTAAAGTACCCCTTGGTTCAATTCATGTTACTAAGAAAAAAGAAAGAAAAGAAAATGAAGGACAGGAACTGTGGTCTTTGGAGCATCTGCAGAACTCCTTAAGATCTTAGACTAAAAAGTACTTCAGAAATTCCTACTAGATGATGAATAAATGAATTCATAGGCTTGATTTTAAGAAGAAATAGTCCACTTACTAAGAAGGAATTGGCAGGAGAGACAGGAGGAGAAGTGCATTTCAATCCTCAATGTCTATAGAAATATTCCTCTAAAGGAGGGTTTCTTCATACTACAAAGTTAACCTTGCTCTTTCTGTGTAATAGCTTCTACTTCTAGAAGTATGACAGCAACATGGGGGTGGATGTGATGGAAAAAAGATGGTTTAGCAAAGATAACTTTTCACCCAGCAGTTTTGAAATGTGGTTATATTTCTTCTGCCTTTCCAAAAGCCACACCTTCAGCTTTGAGGAATAAGCCTTAGTAAATAACAGACTGGAAAACTTAGTTCCCACTTGAACTCTGTGGAACAGGAAGCCTAGAATGTCTGAAGGCATCTGAGCCAAATGTCAATGCCATTAAACTGCCATTCTAGTAGAGGAGGATGACATCGGTTCCCGTTTTCTTTTGAGACTGGAGAGATGCATATGGCCCCATGACCATCAGGTAGAGCGACACTGGAGAAGGAAGATGTCAGATAAAACAGGATGCATGCAGTATTTGAATTTTATTTTAAAAATTTGTTGATCAGAAGTTCAATTTAACTCTGCATCTTCTATTTTATTTGCTAAATCTGACAATCCAGAGACTGTCTCTGTGTTCTGGAGTTACTCTTCTAATTTCTGGCCTATATGCATCTCTGCACTGGAAGAGATATCTAGTTGAGGGCTCAGGGTTGGAACATGGGCTTGTCTGAAGCAGCTAGCTGCTTTGCTGATGCTGCAGTGTGTCCCTGGATAGGACCAGGTGAAGGGGACATTGACTCTAAATCTTTATGTTGGATTGTGAGGAACTTGGTGAAAGAGAAAGTTCTTCTCCAAATGAGAGATGTTCTCTCTCCACACTTGCCCCCACTCTGGCAGGTCTCTTATGTCATCTGGATGATGCCTGCATCAGCAATCCTTGCCACAAGGGGGCGTTGTGTGACACCAACCCCCTGAATGGGCAGTACATCTGCACCTGCCCACAGGGCTACAAAGGGGCGGACTGCACAGAAGATGTGGATGAGTGTGCCATGGGTGAGTACACAACCTTTCTCTGCTTCCAGTGGGTGTCAGATCAGCAAGTATTTCATCGGGAGCTCATGTTACTCCAGGAGCATGTTACATCCCATATCTCAGATCTCTCCTATTAGGTATCCCTGTTTGCAGTTAACTCTTCAGCCTAACCATACATTCCATTCTGGGAACTAAATATATGCAAGGTCTATACTTAATTTTTCCTATAAAGCCTTCCTCAGTGGCAGTTTAGACTATAATATACAGAAAACCTGGCACGGTGGCACATGCCTGTAATCTCAATGGCTTGGGGGGCTAAGGCAGGAGGATTGTGAGTTCAAAGCCACCCTCAGCAAAAGTGAGTCATTAAGTAACTCATTGAGATGCTGTCTCTAAATAAAATACAAAATGGGGCTGGGGATATGGCTCAGTGATCAAGTGCCCCTGAGTTCAGTCCCTGGTACCCATGCTCCCCCCAAAAAAGAGAATACAGAAAGGCACGAGAGTAAAGATTGCCTATTCCTTTTTTATTTTTATTTTTTCTTTGTAAGTTATGTAAGACATGAGAAGGTAGAAAGCTTAGGAAATACATCGTCAGATGCTCTTCTGTAGTCTGCATTTGTGGAACTCTGGCCTGTGCTTTAGTCCTGATAATTGGTGCTTGTGTCTTGCAGCCAACAGCAATCCTTGTGAGCATGCCGGCAGGTGTGTGAACACAGATGGCAGCTTCCACTGCGAGTGTCTCAAGGGCTATGGGGGACCTCGATGTGAGATGGACATCAATGAGTGTCATTCAGACCCCTGCCAGAATGATGCCACCTGCCTGGATAAGATTGGAGGCTTCACCTGCCTGTGCATGCCAGGTAAATGTATGCCTTCATGCTGGGGTGTGAAATGAGAGGTGGCACTGCACTTGTCCTAGGGAGCACTCAGGAACCAGGGGGAGTCCATGCACTGTATTAGCATTTTATTCCCTGACTGGTCACTTTAGGATGTCTGGGCTCCCAGACATCTTTCTTTCTTTCTTACAGAGAAGCGTGCAAGATGGGAATTGGCAGAGCAATGTCGACCAAATTGAACAAGCTCTTTATGTCAAAGCCAGGTGCATACCACAGAATATATCAGAGGCGATATACTATAAGACTTTTTTTAAAAATAGCTAACTTTCCTGATCCTCCAATGTATTGCATAATACGTCCCATTCCATTAATGGAACTGGATCTTACCTGCAGCATATGCTTAGTGGTGCCCTGGAGCTCTTCTGCAGAAATAGTTCTTGAATCCTCAGAGGCCCAACTAACACTAGTGAAGTGACAGCTGAGGTGGCTGCTCTGGCTGATGAAGGATGCCGGCTGCTATAGCTGTGGACCATGCCCTGATTTTGACTTATACCTTGACTGCAGTAGCAACCCACTCGGGTGGCATTTAGGAACTCAGGGGAGGGACACTTTGTGTCTGGCACTGTCTGGAATGTGTGCATTGACACAGAAAGCACTGTAGAGTCTGTTTGCATATTAGGTCTCACCAGTGTCTTATGAGGTAGCCCCTGTCACCTCTTCACAGTGACAAAGGTCTTTCACATTATCCATTAACCTAATTACAGGGACTATTTCTTGACATGGCAGAGTCCCTTGGTCTTGGCAGTAATATCCATGCTCATAGAAGTAGTAGCCATCTCTGCACACTGTGTTTTCTTGGCTGGAGTCCACCTCTGTGTCTTTCTGAGCCATATGTGGTCTGTTTTGTGCAGGCTTCAAAGGTGTGCATTGTGAACTAGAGATCAACGAATGTCAGAGCAACCCTTGTGTGAACAATGGGCAGTGTGTGGACAAAGTCAACCGCTTCCAGTGTCTCTGTCCCCCTGGTAAGTGCCCACCACCTGGCCCTGTTTCCTTCTGAAGTACAAAGCCTACTGACCATGGGAAGGGAGGGAGCATATGTGTGGGCTATGCATGAGGAAATCATTAAAATGAAGACTTGGTGAGAGGCGTGTGTGTGGAGGGATGGGGAATTGCTTTAGCTAGCCTATCTTCCAAGTCGTTTGTGGATGGAGGTCCAAGTCTGTTCTGGAATGGTCCATGACCTCTGTCTGTGTGTGTATTTCAGAGCTCTCACTCCCACAGAAGCCACGGTTGTAGGCTGTTCAGGATTCCTTTTTCCCCCTAATGGGTCATACTCTCGAAGCCCCTCTGTGAGGTTTTATTGTTTTGAGATTTTTTTCACCCCACAAATCCAAACAGACAACATGCATCCAGTTTCTTCTGCAAGAGCCTCTGTCTGTTATTTCCCTTCATGCTTTTGTTAAAGACATGCCAGTTGTCTCCCAGCAACTGTGGCCTGCCCACTTTGTCTCCAGAGAGAGGGTCCCTTTGCCTCTGAAGATCTGGGTGCTCATTTGAAGGCTCTATGTAGCGTTTCATTTTCCCTTGCTCCCTCTAGAGCTGACATCACTCTAAAGGAGCAGTGGTGGAGACAAGAGGGCTTCTGACCCTGAGTTTCTCCCAGGTATCCTGGTCACCTGCTAGGGAGAACCACTGTGTAGGGAGAATCACTTGCTAGGGAGGTCACTGTGTTGACCCACAACATGGGCTCTAGTGGTAACCTAACCCACCTCTATGGGCATCATCCACTCAACAAGTAAGAAAGACACAGGATAGACTTTGACTTGGTCATTATTTTGCCTCCCCAAGGTTTCACGGGCCCGGTATGCCAGATTGACATTGATGACTGTTCCAGTACTCCGTGTCTGAATGGGGCCAAGTGTATTGATCACCCAAATGGTTACGAATGCCAGTGTGCTACTGGTAAGTGCCTGCTTACTTGTCATCCCCCAGGAGTTTCCTCTGCACAAGGTGGCAACAGTCCTCTGATAGCTTCTCTGTGTTAGAGACAGAGGGGCCTCTGCTCTAACACTCAGGGGCTGCCCTGTGTTAGAGCTGCTGATAGCAGACTTTCTGATGTCCTCATGGTTCCCTCCTATACCCCCTGTTCTTCCATCATGGTAGTGGTCTGGCCTGGATATTCCACTTATGTCCATGTCTTTTTGGCACATGGAGAGCAGTGAGCTTCCAGCTGGCTTGACTGACTCATTTGGGAAAGTAGGATTCCCATGGAAAGCTGTTCCACTGGGACTTCTCTATAGTTGCCCTTTTTGTCTCTTGAGGCCAGTGACCTGAAAAGGCTTAGGAGTCTACAGGCTGAGTGTGTGCAGGTGTGGAGGCTCAGACACAGTGGCTCTTAGGTATGTAGCAGCCAACAGGCAAGAGCTCTGGCTAGGAAGTTAGGGTTTCCTTGCTGACTTCTGGTATTAGAATCCAAAGCATCTATTCATAGAGATGAACAGATCTGTGAACCTATGGCCCTTTTTTTACTTTGGAGAATATTTTATTAAGTCAAATGCCCCTTTTACATGTTTCCTTCTTTGTAGATAAGTAATGTCTAGAAAGCCTAAACATTATTAGAAAAGATGATATCCTTCATTATCTGACTGCTTGAGGAAAAAAGTTAAAAATATAATTCAAGACAGTTATAAATATAATTCAAATTTATTTAGAAGAATTTGTAAAGAGTTGTAGGCATTGAACGAATGATTTCTTTCTGATTGTAGAAAAGCAAACAGTCAGAAAATCACACACAGTGCTACTGTTTTTATATTAGACCTCCTTGCTGAGGTCAACTCCAATGAGCCACTGAACTTTTAAAAATAACCTATTGTCCTTCATTGGAGAAACTCCAGTGTTTGTCCTCTTGTCACACCTAAGTTCACTGGAGAGAGGCTAAAAATCACCTTTTGGGGGGAAGGTGGGGGTTACCCAGGGGCACTTAACCACTGAGCCATACCTCCAGCCCTTTTTGTTTTTTATTTTGAGAGACAGTTTTACTAAGTTGCTTAGGGCCTTGCTAAGTTGCTGAGGCTGGATTTGAACTTAATGATCCTCCTGCCTCAGTCTCCTAAGCCATTGGGATTACAGGTGTGCACACCACACCCAGCTTGGATTCACTTTTTAAAAGGAGGATAGGCCTACTAGAGTCTGTTGGGAAGGAGAAGAATGTGGGCATATCTAAATCTTGAAAGGAGGAACACCCTTTTTCACTTAAATGCTCATAACTTTTACACTCACTTGTTTTGTTCAACAGGTATTTATTGAAAATCTCATGTATATGCTTAATGCTTTGGAAGGGGTGAAGCAGAATAAAGTTCTCTGTCCTCCAAAGTCAGAAAGTCAGAATTGGGAACACTAGGTTCATGAAACCATTATTCAGTACATACGTTTTGGGTTTGGGAGAAAAAGAAATCAGATATTAAAAAAAAAAAAAAAGTCAAGAGCAGCTTCCCCTGAAACCCAGTAAGTCGGGAGGCTGAGGTTAAAGCCTTTGTGCTGTGAAATTAGTTATCAGTCTCAAAGGTGCATTAGTCCTGCCAATCTGATGTTCTTTATTTTGAGCACAGCTCCCCAAGCTCGCTTTCTAAATCAAAACAAACAACCAGTTCCCACTGCTCAAAACCAGCAGTAATATTCATTCAGATGTGGAATGTGTAGGGTACATAGATTAATTGCTCTTGGGTTCAGGTGTGTGGTATCTGGCTTTGAAGATTCCTTGGTAAAATTCCTTCCCAAGGTTTCACTGGTGTGTTATGTGAGGAGAACATCGACAACTGTGACCCTGATCCTTGCCACCATGGCCAGTGCCAGGATGGGATTGATTCGTACACTTGCATCTGCAACCCCGGGTACATGGGTGCCATCTGCAGTGACCAAATTGATGAATGTTATAGCAGCCCTTGCTTGAACGATGGGCGCTGCATTGACCTAGTGAATGGCTACCAGTGCAACTGCCAGCCGGGCACATCAGGTAAGCCTGCTCTGGTTATGTTGGGTTGGGGTTTTTCATTTCTTAAACACAATTTACACAGACCTCTCCAATTTTTTGACATTTGCACAGATACCTAAAAAATATTTCTGATTCTGAGAGGCCAGCCAAAGCCACAAGCATGAATATCTCCAACATAAATGGTTCTACTTTGGAGAGAAGTTAGAGACAATAATTGTGCCATTCCAGTGGGGTGTGTGTGTGTGTGTGTGTGTCTGTGTGTGTCTGTGTGGTGTGTGTTTCATTTAATGGAGGTAAATCACTTCAAAATATAAGATTATTTTTATTTATTTATTTTTTTCTTTTTTAATTGGTTGTTCAAAACATTACATAGTTCTTGATATATCATATTTCACACTTTGATTCAAGTGGGTTATGAACTCCCATTTTTACCCCGTATACAGATTRCAGAATCACATCAGTTACACTTCCATGAATTGAAATGTGTCTTATTGAAATGTGGCTTGATGAATTTTCTTTAAGTCACTTTTATTGAGAATTGCCTGCGTTCTTTCCATCCCTCCCTCCTTCCTTCCTTCCATTCACCTTTTTTTTTTCTTTCATGTTCAGTCTCTTTAATTTTGATGGTTTTCTTTTGCTGCTTATATCTACTGGGTCTTCAGGCATTGGGGAGACTCTAAAGGAGAGGACACACTTTGTTACACAGTAATTGTGAAGAATGGATAGACACTGCTGTCTGTCCTTAGAGTCCAGTGCTATTCCCTGACTGTGGTGGAAGGCTACATGGTAGGGGGAGAATCTGCTGCTCCTTCTGTGTGGAATTTGGAGTTGTTTTCTCTGAGAGAACATCTCACAGGTTTCACTGGCTTCTGTTTTACATATTATAGGAATAAGTATGGACACAACTGTGATTAATAGAGGGAGTACTATGTCCCAGGTCAAAGGAAAATGTATTAGTGGAAGATTAACCAGTGTGTGCCTTTGCTAGAAGAAAAATTGCCAATATCAGGAGAAATTTATTGAGAAATCATCCTGGACTTAAGGGAAATGGTCTATGTGGGTGGCAGAGGTAGGGGACATGGTTAGCTGCCTTCATTTTATAGTGTTATTTCCAAATCTATTTCTTCAAACTTGTAAAAGGCCCTGGTCTTCATCCAGGCCCTCACACATGCCAAGTTTGAAAACAAAGTCCTTTTTGACTTGCCTGAGCATAAGAAACACATCCCATTCCTTCAGAGCTGAGAAGGCCTGCCCCTCCCCACGTTTAGATAAGTCCCTTAAAGGACTTGTAGATCTTTGTAAAACCTTCCAAAAGCACTTTGCTCCAGGGCTGGTCTCCAACATGAGAATTGCTATATGAAAAGAAATTTGAGAGGTTTACCAGTACTTTCATGGCCTTTAGAATGGAGGTGCTACTGTGGGCCTTGCTGTCATTCTGGTTATAACAGCCATGCTGGGAACCTGGATGAGAGGTGGGTTGATGAGCGCTTTGTTTTCTGTGGGATTATGTCATTATGCCAGAAGGCATCAGGTGTGTTTTCTAGGGAGGGCATAGTATAAGTAGCTGTCACTAAGAGGCAAGGGATAAATATGAATGTTCTGTAGCAGGCGGCATGGAGAGGGAAGCGAGGAAGGTCTCAGGGCCCTGCCAAATCCATTCCTGCAGCTGTTAAAAAAATTCATGCAAAGAACTGCCAGCAAAGTAAAGAAATATTGGTCTCCATACTGTTTTCCATATTGGCTTCACTAATTTGCAGTCCCATCAGCAATATATGAGTGTGCCTTTTCCCCCACATCCTCTACAACACTTGTTTTTGTTTTTCTTCATAATAACTGCCATTCTGACTGGTATCTTAGAGTCGTTTTGATTTGCATTTCTCTACTTGCTAGAGATGATGAACATTTTTTCATATATTTGTTGATTGATTGTATATCCTCTTCTGAGAAGTGTCTGTTCATGTCCTTGGCCCATTTATTGTTTGGGTTATTTGTTTTTTTTTTGGTGTTTATCATTTTGAGTTCTTTATATACCCTATAGATTAGTGCACTATCTGATGTGTGAGGGGCAAAAATTTGCTCCCAAGATGTAGGCTTTCTGTTCACCTCACAGATTGTTTCTTTTGCTGAGAAGAAACTTTTTAGTTTGAGTCCATCCCATTTATTGATTCTTGGTTTTAATTCTTGTGCTGTAGGAGTCTTATTAAGGAAGTTGGGGCCTAATCCCACATGATGAAGATTAGGGCTTTGACCCAGCTATCCCTCTCCTCTGTCTATACCCAAAGGACTTAAAAACAGCATACTGCAGGGACACAGCCACATCAATGTTTATAGCAACACAATTACGATAGCTAAACTGTGGAATCAAMCTGGATGCCCTTCAGTAGATGAATGGATTAAAAAAATGTGGCATATATACACAATGAAATATTACTCTGCAATAAAAGAGAATAAAATCATGGCATTTGCAGGTAAATGGATGCAGTTGGAGGAGATAATGCTAAGTGAAGTTAGCCAATCCAAAAAAAAAAAAAAGGCGGATGTTTTCTCTGATATAAGGTGACTGGCTCATAGTGGGGTAGGAAGAGGGAGCATGGGAGGGATAGACAAACTCTAGATAGAGCAGAGGGGTGGGAGGTGAAGGGAGGGGGCAGGGAGTTAGCAATGATGGTGGCATGTGATGGACATCATTTTCCAAAGTACACGTATGAAGACATGAATTGGTGTGAACATACTTCATATGCAATCAGAGATATGAAAAATTGTGTTCTATATGTGTAATAAGAATTGTGATGCATTCTACTGTCATGTATTAAAAAATAAAAGCAATTAAAAAAAAGAAATGTTGGTCTGTAGTGGGTGGAGAAAGAACTGACATGTGTCAGGGGCCTGCTTGGAACATCCATTAATTGAGGCATTATGAATAGACTCTTCCTAGAGTTAGAATCCCAATCCATTTATTGAATGTTCTTTGTTGGTGGTTTAGCACTTGGATGGGGTCTGGATGGAAGTGATGTGTTACAACTTGCTAACTACAGTTGCAGTAGTCACCTGCTGGGTCCTTAAAGGGAGAGAGACTACTCAAAGTATCAGTGCCTTCTCTTATCTATGCTATTATGATGATAAAACTGTTTTGAGTAATTAGTTTCTATGTATTTCAGGAAACTCAACTTGAGCTAGCTTAAAGAACCATGAACAAACAACGAAATAGACAATTTTAGTGAAGGCTCGAAGAAGTCTCTTATGTAGATTCTAAGCAAGAATGGAATTATTGGGCTGTCAGGAAAATAGTACAAAGCAAGGCATTTTGTAGCTCAGTGTTCACATAGGTCACATTTCTACATAGGAGCTCATTGGCCCGACCTGATACAGATGTCAGTTCCTCCTCAAGTAAATTATGGCCCTGGAGCTAGAGCTACATTGGATTTAAAGGCTTCATGGGGCTGCCTTCATGGATTGAGGACAAAGATGGGTTGTCAGTCAAGGGCTAGACATGGGTTATACATCTCCTACGTGTGTAACTTTTACATGGGAGTATGGGACTCCTTTTCTCATTTATGGCTAGTGCGGCATGAGAGCCTCTTTAACACAGAAAGACAGCGTGGCTTGCTGGAAAGAACACAGAACTGTGAACAAGAAGACAAGGCCTCACTGAAGCTGGGCAAGTCAGCAGTGCTATTTGTAAAATGGTGTAACACAGCTGGGTTTAAAGCTTGGCTGAGAGAATTAGCAAAAAAATCACAAAACTGCAAGGCCAGCTGCTTTGCACACAATGGCCCAATAAATTTTTAATACCATAGTAATTACTAATAATAAAATTTGTGAATGAATCAATCATGACATTTTGTTCTAGAAATTGTTTATTTATATTCTTATTGTGTTTTTATTGTTAGACTGTTTTTACTACCCACATATTCTTCCATGATAACTTAGGAAACATCATTAAATCCATTTTAAATAAATAGTGAGAAATCATGAGTGTTAAATTACTTTACCAGTACAATACCATGGTAACACTAATGATTGTTATAGCCTTACTCTTTCGTTATCCATATCTACAATCAAGCCTGTGTCAGCACAGCTAGACCCTTCTGTTCATCTGTGGAACAGAACAGAATAAGACGGTGCAACACTAAAGGCAATTCCATATTTGTTTAAAGATCATCCTGAGCTTTAGCTTTTACACTGATCGTCAGTGTCAAGCTTAAGGTGATGGATCCAAGTTCTAAATTCTAATTTTGATTGTAAAGCCCAAATTTAGTTTCAGCATTAAGTACTATCAGCTGTTTCCCTCAAAATGATAGGTTTCTTTCTTTCACTTAATATTTGCTAAACACTCAAGTCTGATGAACTTTGGCTTATCTGTCAGTTGTTCTTTCAACTACATGGGGTTTCATACAGAAGGCAGCTATTTCAGCTCACAATTTGAACAGTTGCGTGACTGCTTCTCCTGATATGATGTTCACACCTGTATGCACAGAAATTCTTCTGTGCTTCCCCTTTCATCACACATAACAGGGCAGGTACATTTGAGGTTCAAGATTTAATGAAGTTACGATGTTTATAGTTTTAACCTCTTTGCCAAAGCCATTCTTAGGTGAACTGTCTCTTGTGTTTATTTAACTGTGGGCAGCATGGATGTGAAGATACAGTAACTACTAGCACAATTTAGTTCCACTGCCTGATTCCCGCCACATGCCAACAGTTTTATCCCAGTTGCCTTTGCAAACATCAGTGTGAATGTCAACACAGAAAAAAAAAAAGCAAGTAATAGCTTTGTGTGAGTAATAAAACCCTTCTGACTTCAAGATTCTCCTGAAAGAGTCTGTGGACTATACTTTGAGAAGTGCTGCTATGTTCTGTCCAGGGCTGCCTGGATTACATTTAGACTTCTTACTCCACAGCATCAGAAACAAAAGCTGGGTTATGTCTGTGATAATGTGGAATGATTTCTCTTTGATTCTCCTTTTAGGGATTAATTGTGAAATCAATTTTGATGACTGTGCTAGCAACCCTTGTGTCCATGGTGCTTGTATGGATGGCATCAATCGTTACAGTTGTGTCTGCTTGCCAGGATTCACAGGTAATGCTTCATGCACTTCAGCCTCATCACTTTGGGAAAATGGGACATCTGAGGGAAAATCACTTTTCAAATGTCTCTTCTTTCTTGGTGTCTCTGGAAGGTTTGAAATCTGCTCCTGTACTTCTCTGATCCCGTTTTCTGCTCATAAATCTTCCTTAAACTGAAACATGCCATATTTCATTTATTAGATTTTACCATCATTGTGCTTGAGTTAAGTTACCTCCAAAGCCTACTTTATTTTCCTGCAAGCAGTAGTTGGTACCTTCTGTAAATCCATATGCGAGGTAAACTTGCAAAACAGCACTTTTTGTCTCATGTCCTTCCTCTTTTGGGGAGACTGTTTAATAAAATTGTAACTTGAGGGGACCACCTTAATTTGCCTGCATGAGCAAGATTTTTCTGTGCAGGAGGAAGAAAATAAATGGCTAAAATAGCTTAGCAAGTCATTCCTACTGAAGTACAAATAGCTAGAACACTAGCACATGCAAACCTGTGCACACGGGCACATCCATGCATCTCTCTCCTCTTTCCTTGTTAATATTACCTTTCCTTTTACCTTCCTGTAAAAAGTTCCTGAGGCTACTGAGGAAACCTAGCCCCTCACTGACATCTAAGCTGCTACAGGCACCATGAGAGGGATTCACAATGTATTCTATTCTTTCCTGTCAGTGCCACAGACAAGTAGGCCCTAATGTAATACCCTTTAATAATGACCATGTGGTCATTTGCACTCCAGGTGAGAGACTCCTTATGAGCTTTTGGCAGAGGCAGCAGGAGCCAAATGAAGAATGTCTGCCATTGCCATGCGTTCTCTAGTTCACAAGCACTTTTCCAGTTTGTATGACTGTTGTTGCTAGACAGGAATGTTTGTGGCTCCAGTGATTCCTGTTCATTGGAAATCAACGAGAAGCCAAGTATGATGAAAGCTTTCAAGCCAAGACCTTGCAGTAGTGTGGTGGCCTGATGGACTTGTGCATCCTGAAAACTGTCACTCCAGTATTAGGTGGCAGCCAACAGAATGCATGGAAATTCCTGCTATTAGGATAATAGGTGCACTGTTGTTAAATGGGTAATATGAAGAAAATAGCTAGCACATATTTTGAGCTATGCATCAAATTAAGTGCCAAGTCACAATTGTCACAGCTGTTTTGTTCCTCTGGTATTGATGAGAAATCCAGAGCTTAGAGAGGTGAAGTGATATTATCGGTGTACTAGGATTCTACCCCAGACATCTGATCCCAGAGCCCTGGTTAATTTGTGGATTTATATAAGACTTATTTAGTTTTCTCAAATGTCAGTGCATCATATTCTTTCTCTTTTTAACATTCAGCAACCCAGCAAGGTCAAGGAGGGAGGGCACATAGGGCTAAAAATATTCTAAATAAACTTAAGGTGAAGTATGAAACTGCATAACCAAGAAATGGAATGTTTTGATTACTGGGCGGTACCCTGTTCTTGGAACTGTTTTCTGTGTCTGACATTTTTTTTTTTAATCAGTAGCTGAAAATATCTAAGATGACTGTGGTATATACTCACGAGTGGTAAATGAAAAGTGTTTTATTCTTTCCCCTGTTTTAATTTAATACATTCCCCCTATTATTTTAATAACAGCTTTAAAAAACTTAAGGGATGGTTTTGTTTTTGTTTTTTCTTTCTGTAAGTCTAAGTTCTCTGTTCTATTCAAAAAGGATTTCTTGAAACTTTTTGAATAAATGGGAGAAAGAAAGGAATCATGTGATAATCCTGTGAACTACTTTTCAGTTTTACATAGCACCACATTCATTATCTTGAATTCTCCAATAGTCCAGAAAGGAAGTTCTGCCATCCTCATTTAATAAATAAGGCAGCTGAGAGACAGAGCTTGATATGCCCATATCCTTAGCTAGTGAGTTGCAGAGAGGGCTATGAATTCTCAGAAGGCAGGAACTTCCCTTTATTATCTTTCTAGCAATATCTAGCACAGAAGAATACTCAATAAATGTTGCTGGATGAATGAGTTTAGTGAATTGTACTCAAAATAAAGCACTTCTCTTATTCAACCCAGACCCTAATGCCTGGACTAAACACCAGTCACTGAGAATTCATCAAGTACCTACCAAGTAGGAAAGACAGGGTAACTTCTCATTTCAATAATTGCTGAGCCGGGGGCTAGAGTTGTGGCTCAGTGGTAGAGGGCTTGCCTAACACATGTGAGGCACTGAGTTTGATCCTTGGCACTTCATAAAAACAAATAAATAAAACAAAGATATTGTGTCGAACTACAACTAAAAAAAAAAGATATATAGCTTTGTTTTTTTGTACATTATAATCAGCACCTCACAGGCAAGCCCTCTACCACTAAGCCACAACCCCAGCCCCTAAAAAAATATATTTAAAAAAATTGCTGAGCCCCACAACAGACATGATTCACACTGAGCATTTTTGGTGCTCTGTGGACATTCCACGAAGGCATGACCTTTCTGGTGGAGCCACTGCTGAAGACTGCACAAGCCACTTAAAACTCTCATAAAAAGATTGCTTGAAAATTTGTTCTGGGAAGAATTTTAAAGCAAATGAAGGGCTGGGGATGTAGTTCAGTGGTAGAATATTTGCCCAGCATGTACAAGGCCCCAAGTTTGATGACCTGCACTGCAAAGAAAAAAGAGAGGGAAAGGCACGGGAGGGCAGAGGAGAGGAGAGACTCAAGAGGCTGAGGTGGAAGGATTGCTTGAGCCCAAGATTTGAACACTCGCCTGGATTGCATAGTGAGACACCATCTCTCAACAAAAATAAAACAAAGCCAAAAAAAAAAAAACAACCAAAACAAACAAACAAACAAAAATGAATGAAGAAAACTTGAGAGCATTTGTGGAGATGCTTCCCAAAAAGGACCACGAGTGGAAAGGCTGTTTCCCTTCATACTCTACTGGATTGCAAGCCATGGACAGCCTAGCAGTTGAAGAGCTGTGGTTCATATTTTGGTGCCATTGGCAAACATCTAAAAGAATCAGTGGTCAAGGCCAAGAAAATAGCATTTTAAAACAAGTTATTAATAAAACACTTAGAGAAAAATAGCATCCACTTCCAGATTATGGGTCTTCACCACAAGAACCACCAATAATGGTTTAGAGAGCAACAGAGAGTGAAAAAATGTTAATACCCATACTTTAAAGGGTGTGTGTCTATTTCATTTGGAATTTCCTGTTCTAAATGCAGGGTTGCTCTTTCTTACATTTAAAAAAAATGTGTATTTTTTATCTGAGTCAGAAAATTGTATTCTTGGTAATTCATATGTTCCTTCATGGCAGTTGCTTGATTCCATTTATTTACAGAATTATGGGCAATTTAAAAATTTCACATCATTTTAGAATATATAGTCAAATCTCAATTATTATAAATTTAACAAATAAAAACACTTGTATAACTGGCCCATTGTCACATTATTCACCCAAATGACAGTGAAGAACTAGGCTATTGCAGACTTCTTTTCAAAGTTCAATCTTGGGTATGGCTTGGAAGAAGAACACACTCACTTCAGTTTCACGTACTCCCAGCATCTATCAACATTGTTAAAGAATGAAAAGTATAATTGTTTAGTGTAGAATTTCTTAACCTAACGTTTGAACCACCTGCATGTTTTAAAATGTGGCTGTTGGGCCCCACCCATCACAATCTATGCAGTAGGGCCTAAGGATCTCATTTTGAGCAAGAACTTTAAGTGGCTATTTTGCACATTAAAGTTTGAGAACCACTATTTAGACTGAGAGATAATGGTGTTTTCTTAGTTTTTAGGGAGCCGTAAAATTATGTTTAGAAACTCTACTTTCTGAGGCAGAAAATGGAGTAAATGATACTCTTAAGAATCAAAACAAAATGCCTTTCTTTTTAATCAATTTCATCATTAAACTAAGTTAATAGTCCATTGACTAAGCATTCTAGTTCACCATAGTTAATAGTCCATTGACATAGCATTCTAGCTCACCTCATTCAGTTGACTAACTGAAAAGTGAATTAGTGGTAAGCCAGTGGAAAGCACATTCCAGAGGCTTCTGGGAGTGTGCTTACAGCAGCAGCATCAGGAGCAGCCATCTTTGCTGACCTCTGAGGTTCTCTTCAAACCTTGTGAGGTTTCTCCATTTCTAAGGTGAAAATGGAAAGAAATACATGACAACATGGTATAGCACTTTTCTTGTGTTAACTTTTCTTCATTAACAACTGCCAGTGCTCCCTGCAACTTCCTTGAATGGTATTAAGTGCTCTCGAGTGTCTCATTACTTAAATGTTTTTTTATTGGTACATTATAATCATACATGATAGTGGGATGTACTGTTGTTACATATGCATACATGCACAGAACAACTATGTCAACTCCACCTCCCAGTAACTATTCCTTAAACCTTGACATTTGGTGTCCCAAGGCACCTCATAGCCTGTGCAGATGAAGAGTGTCACCCTGTGTGTATATCAGTTCTGGATCTGCTCCTGAATATCTGGGATTTGAGTAACAGCATCCCCTTCTCTGCAGGGCAGAGATGTAACATCGACATTGATGAGTGTGCCTCCAATCCTTGTCGCAAGGGTGCAACGTGTATCAATGATGTGAATGGTTTCCGCTGCATCTGCCCCGAGGGGCCTCATCACCCCAGCTGCTACTCTCAGGTGAATGAGTGCCTGAGCAGTCCTTGCATCCATGGCAACTGTACTGGGGGCCTCAGTGGGTGAGTAGCTGCCATATGTTGTCAGGTTCCTGTCTGTTGACCTATGTCAAGCCATTTGGCTTTTGGCGTTGGTAATAGCCTGCAGAAGTCATTTGGATACTTGTCCTGCAATTTGGCTGAAGGTTTTAGTAGTCTGCCACAAACTCTTCTAATTTATCACTTTGTCTATGGAAGCTAACCCCGCCTTCCATGGTGGAGGACCTGGGAAGAAAGTAAGGAGGATTGTCTCTTTTACATAAGTAGTGTAAGGAGGAGTCCAGGCCTGTTTCATGAGTCTTTGGCAATTGTGTTTTAGAACTTATTACAAGATTGAGTTCTGAGGAATTTCTAGCATCATTTTTTTAACGACTTTTTAAACACAGCCTACCTTTGTTCATCATAGTACTTGTGTGTACTCTGGAGTGGAACTGGTTCAACCAACTTTAGACATGATTTTGATAAAACATTTGCAGTTGGCATGTCCCTCAGAGTTGTGTAGTGTATTGGTAATTTTTAGAACCACAGAGTAACCTTAGGTTCTCTGAGAAGGTCTTCACTTTTATTGTGCTTGCCATAAGACACGGTTTTAGACATTGCCATTTTCCACACTTACAATAGGTGAAAGAATGAGAGTGTTTTAGGAAATAAAGTTTTTTTCAAAATGAGTTAACTTGGTATTCATGTCTCAGAGTATGACATCCTTAAAAACACCCCTACCATCTACCCTTTTCCCACAAATCTCCTGTGAAACATAGCTATCATTTCCTGATAGCACTCTCTAAGTGATACTGATATTCAAGTATGATACTGTATATTTCAGATGCCTTTATTTTATGCTCTTTCTTGATCAACACCCTGGGTGCTTTCTGAGGCAGAGTAAAGCAAGACTCAGATGTAAGACATCCAGGGAGTTATTCATTGTGTCTTAAAGTCTTTGCTACTGTCTTATTTCCAGGTGTCTGTTTTGCAACACAAACTAGGGATCTTAAGGTTTGTTTTACCTTAGATTTATGTGTAATAAAATTAGTTTTGTAAATTATTCATTTTAGTGTTTCCTGCAGAGTGGCCCAATATATATATGACCCAGCCATTGTTTATATATGAAATTCACTATAATTAATTAATTTCACTAGCTTCTTGGTGAGCTAGGGAAGCACCACATAGGTCTCTTTACTGAACATACCAGATGGGCCCAATGACTCTATGTAATAGAGTCACAGAAGAATATGAGATTACCTTACTAAAGAGCTCCTGCCCCCTCATTTCATCACCAACTCCTTTATTTTATTCTCTGACTGTACTGTACATTTTTGTGGGGTCTCTTTTTAGATATAAGTGCCTTTGTGATGCAGGATGGATAGGCACCAACTGTGAAGTGGACAAAAATGAATGTCTTTCTAACCCATGCCAAAATGGAGGAACTTGTGACAATCTGGTGAATGGATATAAGTGCACTTGTAAGAAGGGCTTTAAAGGTGAAAACAAAAGTACATCTTTTATGTCTGTTGTTGTCTTATTGCATACTACTTGGCTCAGTTCTTTCCATTTCTGTTTTCTCATTCATTCATTCATATGGCAAACATGGAGGAATTAGTATTTATGAGATATTTGGGGGAGGAAAAATTACTTGTATAGATAAAATTTCTGCCTTCAGCCTGACAGAGAGGCAAGCTGTTAAAGCAGTTCATATTTAAGATGCTCAGTTAAGACTCACACAGCTTTGGACAAATGCCTAATTGTAGGGTCATTGGTCTAGGTTTTATTCTATGGTAATTCAAATAGCTCTATAGAAATATAATATTTTGCTTTCTATAGTTAGGGTAGCAACATCATAGACTCAGCTCTGTGTTTGGAGCCTTCTCATAAACTCTTTCATACATCAAGGTATTTTTACTTAGTTTTTTATTGCCTTTTGGAAAAATACATAGCAGTGAAATTGTATAAGCCTTTTTTTTTTGAGTTCACGCTTGTATTTGCACTATTATAAGTTTTCACTTGGAAACTCATGACAGATAAATATATGGGTAGATCATTTATATTTATGCTTACATTACCCATTGATTTCTTCACTCAAAAACCGTGATTGGCTATTATGTTATATCAGCATGTTTTAGAGACACTTTATTTGATTACAGATTAAGCATCCCTAATCCAAAAATCCAAAATGCTCCAATATCTGAAACTTTCCTAGCACCAGCATGCTGCCATATTTGGAGAATTTCACACTCAACCTCATATGACAGGTCAAAGAAAAAATACAGGTTCATTAGAAATATTATATGGAATTATCTTCAGGCTTTGTGTGTTTATGAAACAAATTTGACTTTTTTTTTTTTTGGTTTAGACTTAGTCTCATTATCTGTATGCAAGTATCCAAAATCCAAARAATCCAAATTCTAAAACAATTCTGGTGTTAAGCATTTTAGATGATACTTAAACTGTAACTGAAATTTTTCTGAGACCTATTTCAGTCATTTTCTGATATATTGCATTACATTTGCAAAGAAATTTGTAGATACAAAGGCACCTTTCTTTATTTCATTGAGACATGCTTATCAGTGAGTAAACTAAAACTCAAAATGTAAAATCCAACTTCTTATGCCCAGTTAGTATTAGAGCACAACTGAGCCCAGTTCTCTATACTCCTAGATAATCAATTTCTCCTTTACTGTGCTGTAGTTTTTCTATTTTTTGTGTGAAACTTTACCATAAATGCAAAAGGTAGGCAATATTGGGTACTATCCTATATCTATTGCTCTTTTGTTGCTTTTATCCATTATTTAGTGGGATTAAATGTCATGCTTTGAATCAGGAGAAAAACAATTTTTTGACTTCAGAAGTACCCCATTGATGGTAGAGACTATGCAAATGAAAGTGGGCATAAATCAGAGGCTTTGATTATGTATTCAAAAACATTTTCTTTTTTGCTGACCAGAAACTTTGCATAAAAAGGCCTATGTTTAGATAAGATAACAAATGTTTCAACCCTTAGCATCTTGGTTTATTATCAAGAAACTACTTGTAATTGGAGGAGTAATAGGCTTTCAGGCCATTAGAATAAACTGTTATTACTTTCATCTTTTGATCGATTGATCATTCACTGACTACTATATGCCAGGGACATATGACCAAAATGAATAAGCAGGTGTTCCAATGGTCTGAAACAATGAGTGCCATTTCAGAGGTGTTTAATTTTTACCACTGAGAGAACTGGTTGGTCATTGAGGTAAAGAGGAGGCTGACAGAAAGTCACTGTGTGTGTGTGGTTTTCACTTTTCTGCCTACAGGCCACAACTGCCAGGTGAATATTGATGAATGTGCCTCAAATCCTTGTCTGAACCAGGGGACCTGCTTTGATGATGTTAGTGGCTATACTTGCCACTGTGTGCTGCCCTACACAGGTGGGTGCTGTAGGTGCCTGCGGTGAGCATAGGGATGTTTGACCAAGCCAGGTCAGTGAGCACTGTGAGCTTCAGTGAGGCAGGTCTGTGGGACCCTGATGCTGCTCGAGGAATCACTGCCTGGGTGTCCTTTCTGCCCTCACTGACTGCAACCTGAGTTCGGAAAATTTGATGGGGAAATACATTGGTCTTCTTAATGCTTTAGTGTTTGGACTTTATATCTGACTGGAATCTGGTATGTAGCTGATGGACTTAGTTCATCATTTGAATGGACCCTGTGTTTTGATGAACTATGTCAGACAGACACTGTTTTGTTGTTGTTGTTGTTTGTCTTGGAGATTGAATTCCAGGGCATCACATTTGCTAGGCAAGTGCTCTGCCACTGAGTTAACACCCACAGTTCTCCAACACTTTTTATATTTTGGGTTACTTAATCTTGTCTTCAATAATTCTACAATGTAGAATTTCCTGTCTCACGAAGATAAGTAGGAGATAGAGCATTTGCCCATAAATCTCTGAATCTGAAGGTTTTCCTGTTAACTGCCATTCTAATCCTAACATTCAAATGTCAGTCTCACTCAGAAATATTGTCCCCTGAATGCCTCTTTCACATAGAGAAGACAAAAGTGTGATTTCAGTTGACCTCAGCTGTTCTGTTTTGGTAGGTATATTTGGCACTTTGGACATTCTTCCTGTTTTCTCCTATGTCCTCATTGCCATTGCATGGTGGTTGCACTTGTATGCCTTGCTCACCTCCTTGTCGTCCATTTTCTTCATCCATGAGGAACAGACACAACTGTGGCTTTGCCTGTTGGAGCAGTGCACAGCATGCAGGCAGGAACACACCAGACCTGTCATTCCCTGGGTCTTGGGCAGTTAGCCGCAGCAGTTCATGGTGACTGAGCTGTGCAGAGCAGCAGGATGGCCACAAGCATGACTGAAAGACTTGTTACCTTTGCTCCTTAGAAGAAGTGGTAATGTAGGGAAATTGCATTAACCCTCCTGGCTCATAAACTCAAAGTTATAAAAGATCCTGTCTTTAGACAAAGAAAGTACAAATAACGTCATTCCAGAGGCTTGTTGATCTCATTTGTTGGTAGCAAAAAGACATCTCACATTGGATGCAGTGGCACACACCTGTAATCCCAGCAGCCTGGGAGGCTGAGGCAGGAGGGTTGTGAGTTCAAACACAGGCTCAGCAACTGAGTGAGGCCCTAAGCAACTTAATGAGACCCTGTCTCTAAATAAAATACAAAAAGGGCTAGGATGTGGCTCAGTGGTTAAGTGCCCTGGGGTTCAGTCCTCGGTACCGTCCCCTTACTTCCTCCCTCCAAAAAAACCCCAAAATATCTCACAGCCACAAAGCCTGAGAATGGACAGCTGTGGATATACACAGGTGTCACTGTGCTCAGCCACTTTGGGGACTTACTTGCTGTGTATCTTAGGTGTACAGCTCATCTGCAGATGATCTGTTTTCTCATCATGCTTTTCAGATGCACTGATATATTTGGCTTTTTGCTGGATATTGATTTTTCTTTAGCATCCTTGTTTAAAAAATTTACAATGGAGAGTGAGCCTGACTGAACACAACTATGCAGATAAGCCTTGTAGTTGTGCGTGGTTAAAGGCTGTAAGCTTTGTCAGGTTTGCCCAGTATAAGGAAACCAAGCACCCTTATAAGCCACTATTCTCCAACTTTTTAAAAGTGGGTTTGAGATATTTTGGTGAACATTTGGTGATTTTTTTTCCCTGAGTACAAAACTTTAGAACGAAAATCTTAATATGAGAGTAAATTAAAACAAAAACAAAAACAAAAACACCTCATCTAGCTGGGGATGTAGCTCAGTGGTAGAGTGCTTGCCTGGCATGTGTGAAGCCCTGGATCTGATCCCTGGCACTACAAAAATAAAGTAAAAACCTCATCCCTTTTTAATAATAGCGTTCCTATTTAATTATTTCTTGCTGTGAGTTTATATCTAACATACTAAAGTAGGAAGTGGTGGGCAGATACCAGTGTCATATTCATACATTATAAGGAGTCAGCTTGCCTGGCAATCAGAGCTGCTCCACTGTCTTCTACTTGTACAGTAGTGCCCATTGCCTTCCAGTTAACCCATTCCCTGGAACAGTTCAGCTGAGGTTGGAGGAGCAGGAGGCCATGGTTCAGTCTGTGAGGCTGAGCTTCAGCGCAGCTGAATCTTAACTATGGAAATGCAAAATTTATCTCATCTGATGAATGCAGGTGTCCAAATCCATGGAACCACTTGTGATGATAATAGCAAAATTAGTAGCAGCCTAACAGTAATTGAATACTCTCTATGCACCAGGATGTGTGCTAATAAGGACTTTGTGTGCATTTTTTTAATTTAATCCTCAAAAATTATCTTTGAGTTACATATTGGTCTCATTCTCTTTATATGAGTAAGAGAAGAGAAGTAACCTGCCCAGGTTCACAAGTTAGCAGTGTCAGACCAAGATTGAAAGGACTAAGAGTCTCTCAGATTCCAAAGGGTTCCCCTCCTCAACATGGTTGAACCCATAGACACTCTACCACTGAGCTACATGCCCAGCCTTCCTTATTTTTTATCTTTAGGTGGGTTCTTGCTAAATTGCCCAGACTGGCCTTGAACTTATGATCTTCTTGCCCTGGCCTCCCAAATTGCAGGGATTAAAGGGGTGCACCACCACACCCAGCCCATAGTCTCTTAATGACTACTTTAAACTTGAATTCCGAGGAATTCTGGGTGTACTATTTGGGAAAACGTTCGTTTACTGGGCAAGTTGTCTGTCACAAACTGTCATTTGCTTTTCAGGCAAAAATTGTCAAACTGTGTTGGCTCCCTGTTCCCCAAACCCTTGTGAGAATGCTGCTGTTTGTAAAGAGGCACCGAATTTTGAGAGTTACACCTGCTTGTGTGCTCCTGGCTGGCAAGGTAATAACATGAAGATGGAGGAGCCAGRCATATGTGTTCTGAACTTTAAAGTGGTCAGGTCATCATCAGATGACTTTGATCTTCTGAGGCTGGTCCATCTTTGTCAAGAACTCTGTCCTGGAGCTGGTAACTGGAATGGTGCAAAAAGCCTTTCCATTGACCTTTGGGGCCCTCTAGTGGCTGTAGACTCCACAGAGACTCTCAAACCCTGATGTTCTTTCTACAGAGAATTTTAGCATGATGGCATTAGCCTTTCTGGAATATAGATGATTTCTTGGGTCTTCCCAAAGCCTGAGATCAACCTGGGTGTCCTTGGAGTAGCTTTACCCATCCCACCTAAGCTCAGGCTCCACAGATTACTACAGGAATCAGCTTCCAAAAACTAGTTGTTCATTGGTGTTTTTTTCTAGGTCAGAGGTGTACGATTGACATTGATGAGTGTGTCTCCAAGCCCTGCATGAACCATGGTCTCTGTCATAACACCCAGGGCAGCTACATGTGTGAGTGTCCTCCAGGATTCAGTGGTATGGACTGTGAGGAAGACATCGATGACTGCCTTGCCAGTGAGTATGCCCCAAGGGAGAGGAAATCTCTCAGGGAACAGAGCAGATGAATTCAGAAGAGGCCACTGCCTCTTATACTGATGTCAGCCATACCAGTCATTTAATGAGTATTTTTAACACTGTTAGTTTAATATCTTCTTTAGAAGCTAGTGTCTTTAGGAATCAAAACAAACGAATTTCTTTTAAGCACTTCTCTATGATGTTTTGAATATTGACAAGATGGAGACAATGCTATGGTAGTTTTCCTTATACATATTTCTGAGTGACAATTAACATGCAATAAACTGCAAATATTTAAGTGTATATTTTATCAAGTTTTGGCATATGATAACAAAAGCCATCATTTATGATAATACACTGATTTGTCCCTCTTAATGTATACCTTTGTAATTTAATCCTTCTACTTTCTTATCCCATACAACCACAGATCTCCTTTGTCACTGTAGATTAATTGGCATATTTTACCATTTTAAATACATGCAATCATATAAACATACTTTCTGTTTAGAGATTTTGACTTGTTTCAGTAAGCATAATATTTGAGACTTGTCCATAATGTTCATAGTAATAGGTTATTTTGCTTTGTTGATGAGTAGTGATATATAGGCTGCTTTTTATTAAGCTTTGGTAAAATGTATTTTTCAAAGAATTAGTCTAATTTATCTAGGTTGCTAAATATGGTAGTTTAGAGTCAATCATAGTATAATCTTTATTGAACTTTTAGTGTTCATAAGATCTGTGAACAACAAGCTTGTAGATGGCAGTCCAAAAATAAATTAGACCTAGTCACAACCTTTATGAAGCTCATTTCTTACTGGGGAAGAAAGATATGTAGACAAATAATTTTAACATTTTGTGGCAAATAGTGGGAAAAATATGTCTAAGAGTCAATTGATGGAGAAATTAGAGAATTAAATAAAACTATTTGGATGCCTTTCTCACATTAACTATCAAATAAATATACAGTACTTTAACTTTCTTTCTTATATGAGGTGGGACCAGCAATGTTTACAAGGAGTTTGAAACAATTCAGTAAATTATGATGAGTTTCTTGTGGGAGTCTATGGAAATTATAGTATTGTGTACTGTGGTTAAGAAAGGTTAAAATATTTTTATAATTCCTCTAATTGTAATTAGACTCAGTCATTATTTAAAACAAATATGAGGTATTTAAATGTCCCTCTCACAAAGTAGGGGCATTTTACTCATGTTGAGTTTTCATTTTAAATTTATGTCTTGTCTTTGCAATTATATATTTTTTGGGGGGGTTAGTTGTAGATGGAACAGAATGCCTTTATTTTATTTGTTTATCTTTATGTGGTGCTGAGGATCRAACCCAGTGCCTCACGCATGCACTCTACCACTGAACTACAACCCCAACCCTGCAATTATATTTTTAAGATCCTTAAGCACAGTAACTCTATCTTGATTTTCTTATTCTGGTTTGTATGCTATCTATATTGTGGAGGGCCATGGCATGATAATAGCTCAAATTTTGTTGATTAATTTCTTTCCTTTTTCTTCATTGTTTTTAGATATACATGACAGTAGGGTGTATTCTGACATATTATACATATGTGGAGTGCAACCAATTTCAATTAGGATCTCATTATTCTGATTGTACATGATATGGAGTTACATTGATCATGTATTAATATATGAGCATAGGAAAGTTATGCCCAATTCATTCTACTGTCTTTCCTATTTCCATCCATCCTCCCTTCTTTTTATTCCCCTTTGTCTAATCTAGTGAACTTCTATTCTTCCCCTCCATACTCTCCTTTGTTATGGGTTAATATCCACATACCAGAGAGAACATTTGACCTCTGGTTTTGGGGGGATTGGTTTATTTCACTTACCATAATAAGTTGCATTCATTTACCCTCAAATGCCATAATTTCATTCTTCTTTATGGCTGAGAAATATTTCATTGTGTGTGTATATATATACCATATTTTATTTATCCATTCGTCTGTTGAAGAGCACCTAGGTTTGTTCTGTAGCTTGGTAGTGTGAATTGAGCTGCTATAAACATCAATGTCACTATAGCATGCTGATTTTAAGTCTTTTGGGTATAAACCAAGGAGTCAAGGATAGCTGGGTAAAATAGTGGTTCCATTCCAAGTTTTCTGAGAAATTTCCATACTGGTTTCCAAAGCGGTTGCACCAATTTTCAGTCCCAACAGCAATGTGTGAGTGTACCTTTTCCCCGACATCTTCACCAACATTTATTGTTACTAATATTCTTGATAATTGCCATTCTGACTAGAGTGAGATGGAATCTCAGTGTGGTTTTAATTTGCATTTCTCTTAATTGCTAGAGATGTTRAACTTTTTTTCATATATATTTTGACCATTTATGTTTCCTTTCTGTGAAGTGCCTATTTGGTTCCTTTGCCCATTTACTTATTGGGTTATTTGGATTTTTGATGTTAAGATTTTTGAGTTCTTTATATATCCTAGAGATGAATGCTCTGAGGTTCAGGTGGTAAAGATTTTTTCCCATTCTGTAGGCTCTCTGTTCAAGTTTTTGATTGCTTCTTTTGCTGTGAAAAAGCTTTTTAGTTTGATACCATCCCTTTGATTGCTTCTTGATTTTACTTCTTGTGCTTTAGGATTCTTATTGAGGAAGTTTGCTCCTGAAATGACATGATGGAGAGTTGGGACTTCGAACTCAATCTAAAAAAAGAGGTGAAAGACCTCTAGAATGAAAACTGCAGAGCACTAAAGAAAGAAATTGAAGGAGACCTTAAGAAATGGAAAGATCTCCCATGTTCTTGGATAGGCAGAATTAATATTGTCAGAATGGCAATCTACCAGAAGTGCTATACAGATATAAGGCAATTTCCATTAAAATTCCAAGGACCTTCTTTATAGAACTGTCCATCATGTCATTCAGGAACAGACTTGTTAATTAATTTCTGTGAGCATCAAATATTCTAAGATCAAGCTGTGTGATTTTAAATTTTGTTTTTAAAACATTAGATTTAGGGGCTGAGGTTGTAACTCAGTGGCAGAGCACTTGCCTCCCACATGTAAGTCACTGGGTTTAATCCTCAGCACCACAAAAAAATAAATAAACAAAATAAAGATACTGTGTCTATGTACAACTAAAAATTAAAAAAAAACATGAAATTTATTTGGAAAAATAAGAGGCCCAGAATAGCCAAAACAATCCTTAGCAAGAAAAGTAATGCAGAAGACTTTAAATACAAGACTTTAAATTTTACTACAGAACTATAGTAATAAAAACGACATGGTATTGGCATAAAAATAGACTTGAAGATCATTGGAACAGAATAGAAGACACAGACAGACACAGAAATATATAGTTATCTCATACTAGAGAAAGATGTCATAAACATACATTGGAGAAAAAATAGCCTCTTTAACAAATAGTGCTGGGAAAACTGGAAATCCTTATATAGTAGATTGAAATTGAACCCCTATCTCTTACCCTGCACAAAACTCAACTCAAGGACCTAGGCATTAGACCAGAGACCCTGCACCTACAAGAAGAAAAAGTAGGCCTAACTCTCCATCATGTCGCTCAGGAATAGACTTGTTATTTAATTTCTGTAAGCATAAACTATTCTAAGATCAAACTATGTGATTTTTAAAATTGTTTTTAAAAGTATATTTCCTAATGCTACCTAAATCTAAAACACATAATAATAAAGAGATAAATGAAAATAGTGAGAAAGAGAAGAACAGAGGGATGATTAATTTATTTAATATTTCTGGAACAAATATATGATATATGTTTATATATGTAGAAATACCCATATATATGAAGATTTTACGTATAATTCATTGTTCATCTGTTCAGCCTCTACATATACCTTTGAAAATATTGATAAATATTTCTGATGAGCTGTGTGTTGGATCACATATTTAGTTTGTCAGTGTATGAAAGACCAGTGCAAGTTTTATGACTATACTAATATTACAAATTTGTTAGGGGTGATTAGATGACCATGTATCCCAATTGCCATAAAATTTAAAAATCTCAGACAAATGTTACTGAATTCATTTTCATAAATGGGGAAATCAGGGCAGAATAGATAGAGGTCAAAGACAGAAGTCAGAATTGTGCTGTCCTTAGCATGAGATCATTCACCTTCACCAGTCTTAAGGTGAACTTGGTGCTGCTGTTCCAAATCCTAACTCTTTTATAATGGTTTAGATCCTTGCCAGAATGGAGGTTCCTGTGTGGATGGAGTGAACACTTTCTCCTGCCTCTGCCTTCCTGGATTTACTGGGGATAAGTGCCAGACAGACATGAATGAGTGTCTGAGTGAACCCTGTAAGAACGGAGGGACCTGCTCTGACTATGTCAACAGTTACACCTGCAAGTGCCAGGCAGGATTCGATGGAGTCCACTGTGAGAACAACATTGATGAATGCACTGAGAGGTGAGTGGCTGTGCATTGGGCATCAGCATCTTATGTGGAAAGGAAAGAAAGCAGAGGAACTTAAGAGTGTAGTGCTAGGATCGTGGGGCAGGGATGGGACCTCCCCTTGGCTCCTATTCTAGTCATCTCTCATTGCCTATTCCCAATTCCTGAAAGAAGGTTAAAGGTAGATAAACTTAGTGGGATAGATAGGCCAGCATTTATTTCTTACTTAGGGAATAATAGTAGGAACTATAATTCCATTCTCTCTTTGTTCTTATTCATTTCAACGGCAGTTGATCTAAAAATTCCTATTCCTTGGCAGATTTGTTACCATTGTGTAAGGACTTTCTGGGAAGTCTGTTCCATTTATTTTTATTATATTATCAACATGTTTGTTCTGTTTCTCTTTCATAAAGAAGTCTAAACTGAAAAGCTATTTATCTGGCATTTTTTATATGAAGTAAATTGAAGCCAGGCATGGTGCTGCACACCTGTAATCCCAGCAGCTCAGAAGCTGAGGCAGGAGGATCGTGAGTTCAAAGCCAGCCTCAGCAAAAGCGAGGTGCTAAGCAACTCAGTGAGACCCTGTCTCTAAATAAAGCACAAAACAGGGCTGGGGATGTGGCTCAGTGGTTGAGTGCCCCTGAATTCAATCCCTAGAACCCCCCCAGAAAATATAAAGTAAATTGCAATATAAAGTAAATTGACTTAGTTGATTAAAAATAATAATAATATATGGAGAGTCTCAGAATTGTGGAAAACCTCACATTCTCCAGGAATCTAGAGTAAGCACAGCCTTTTAAATGCTCCTAAGCCTTTGGGTATAGAAAGGAAGTTGGCACTCAGGGCTTCTGACATCCAGTTTGAAAGAAAGTAAAATTTACTAGATATAGGAGTTTGAGATGCTCAGGGGTATTTGCAATTTAGATTTTTAAACCTTGTTTTTAAAAGAGCCCGTCAGAGGAACCAATACATAGCTAATGTTGCCTCCCTGCCCATTTGCTCCTCAGTTCTTGCTTCAATGGTGGCACATGTGTTGATGGAATTAACTCCTTCTCCTGCTTGTGCCCTGTGGGCTTCACTGGTCCCTTCTGCCTCCATGAGATCAATGAATGCAACTCTCATCCATGCCTGAATGAGGGAACGTGTATTGATGGTCTGGGTACCTACCGCTGCACCTGCCCCTTGGGCTACACTGGAAAAAACTGTCAGGTAATTAGTTTCCTGTCCACTCACTCAGTTCTCCCAGAGTAGCTGAGTATTATACCTGTTCCCTTTCTAGGCAAAATAAGCCCCTTTTAAAAGAGGAAATCACAGTTCTAGGGGTCTCCCTGAGATGAATCTGGTAACTTATTAGTAGATTTCAAACTGGTGATGCAGGCGGCACGATATAAATCAGCAAACTAAGATTGTCTTAAGAGACTGACCAAGAACTGCAGAAAAATACACAAGGGAAGCAAGCACATAGATACATTTTACATTGGAAGTACAAGAGGAGAAAGAATATCAAAATGCCATCTTTAAAGTTCAGGTACAACATCTAAGAGTATAGTAGCAATTATCATGTCTTCCAATGTAGAATTCATAAAACCAAACTATTTATGTACCTTTAAAATTCAAATATATAATTATACATTTTCATAGAATCTTAAGATGGCAAAGTCCCCATAAATGATTACTCTAAACTTTCAATTCATGGAAGAGAAACTGAGCCACCAAGAGGCATTGTGGTGGCACATGCCTGTAATCCCAGCCACTCAGGAGGTTGAGGCATGAGGATCGCAAGTTCAAAGCCAATCTCAGCTGAAGTGAGGTGCTAAACAACTCAGTGAAACCCTGTCTCTAAATAAAATACAAAATAGGGCTGCGGATGTGGCTCAGTGGTTGCTTGCCCCTGAGTTCAATCCCTGGTACCAAAAAAAAAAAAAAAAAAAAAAAAAGATATGTACCAAACAGTACCTCTTCAACAGTCAAAGAACAACAGACTTCAAAGAACTTTGGAATAAATGGCAAAATGTAACCTGATTTACAGGTGTATTTCAGTAAGGCTTCGGTTAAATTGGATGTGCAAACAACTACCTTCATGTTGAGCAGGTTGGTGCTGATTGTGTGGATCCAGCAAACATTCTTCAAGGGGCTCATGCTCACTCTCGTAGGGTGGATGGCAGTGCTGGAGGTGCAGTCTTCCCTCCCTCCAGTGGCCTTTTCTTTCAGCCATGGTATTGGCACCAAAATAGACATGTATACCAATAGTTGAGAAGAGAAGACACAGAGACATACCCACATAAATATGGTTATCTCATACTAGACAAAGGCTCTAAAAACATATTGGTGTGACTGGAGCTGTGGCTCAGTGGCAGAGCATTTGCCTAGCACATGTGAGGTCCTGGGTCTACATAAAAATAGACAAATAAAAATAAAGGCATGCTGTCTATCTACAACTACAAAAAAAATTTTAAAAAGCATATCGGAGAAAAGATAGCCTATTCAACAAATAGTGCTGGCAAAACTGAAATCCACATGAAGCAAAATGAAATTAAACCTCTCTTACCCTGCACAAAAATCAACTCAAAATGGATCAAAGACTTAGGCACTAGAACAAAAACAACAACAACAACAAAAAAAAAAACCCCAAGTAACCCAATCAATAAATTGCCTAAGGAACTGATTGGACACTTCACAGAAGAAGAAATACAATTGATCAACATACATATGAAAAAATGTTCATCATCTCTAGCAATTAGAGATGTGCAAAACAAAACCAAGATTTCATCTCACTCCAGTCAAACTGGCAGTTAATAAGCAACAATAAGTATTAATGAGGATGTATAGAAAATTATACACTCATACATTACTGATGGGATTGCAAATTGGTGCAACCACTATAGAAAGCTGTATGGAAATTCCTTAGAAAACTTGGAATGGAACCACCATTTGACCCAGCTATCCCACTCCTTGGTTTAGACTCAAAGGACTTAAAATCAGCTTACTACAGGGACACAGCCACATTAATGTTTATAGCAGCTCAATTCACAGTAGCTAAACTATGGGACCAATTTAAGTGCCCTTCAACAGATAAATGGATAAAGAAAATGTGGTATATATACATGGAATATTACTTAGCCTTAAAGAAGATTCAAATTATGGCGTTTACAAGTTAGTGGATGGAGTTGGAAAATATCATGCTAAGTGAAATAAGCCAAACACAAAAAAACCAAAGGCCGAATGTTTTCTCTAATAAGTGGATGCTGATCCATAATGGGGGGGGGGCAGGTACAGAAGAATGAAGGAACTTTGGATTGGGCAGAGGGGACAGAGGATAGGAGTGCAGTATAGGTATGGGAAGGATGGTGGAATCAGGTGGACATTATTACCCTATATACATGTATGACTCCACTACCAGTATGACTCTGCACCATGTACAGCCAGAGGAATGAAAAGTTGTGTTCCATTTGTTAAAATGTGTCAAAATGCATTCTATTGTCATGTATAACTAATTAGAACAAATAAAAATAAATAAAATAACTTCTTTGGCAGTTTTAGGTTTATTAATGGACTTTATATCTTTTTACCCATCTTCACTGCAGGCAGGGTTTGGTCAGGATCCACATGGGTTTCATATAAGATTAGCATAAGGAAAATGGAACTTTTTTGCACAGCTTTAACTCTCTTTCTAGCCCTACAGGGTGTCTGTATATGTAGACATAATCCTGTCTAGATTATGGAGAATAACTTAACCTATTGGATCTTCTGAAATTCTTAAAATTCTGTGGAAAGAACTTATTAAATAGCAGAGCTAAGAGAAACCAAGACTATTTTAAAATTGTGAGCTGTATCTGGAACACTTGATCTTGTTTAGAGCTTAGGTGAGGTCTCTCTCTCTTTCTCTCTTTTTTTTTTTTAAGTGTGCTTTCCTTTGATTTCTTGTAATACAATATAACTTATTTTCTTCATTTCTGGTATTTGGATTTTGATAGATATGTTTTTTTTGTTTGTTTGTTTTTTGTTTTTTTTTTTTTGTCTCTGCTTCAGACCCTGGTGAACCTCTGCAGTCATTCTCCATGCAAAAACAAAGGTACTTGTGTTCAGGAAAAGGCAGAGTCCCGGTGCCTGTGTCCATCTGGGTGGACTGGTGCTTACTGTGATGTGCCCAATGTCTCCTGTAAATTGGCAGCCGCCCACAAAGGTGAGCTCTGTCCCTGGGGCTCAAGGTTTTCCCTGAAGTATTGACTGACCAAGGGCATTTTAGGGCTAATAATATTAATCTTGTGGGGTAAGAGGGAAAGGCGGATAATAGTGAATGGGTAAAGCTCTGGAGCAAGGGTAGAGGAATGGGGTTAAAGGTCCCAAAAAGAAATTCTAAGGCATATTCCACTTTTAGGGCTTGTTTATTTTTTAATGCAAATCTGGTATAGAGAGTTGTGAAGAAATAGACAAGAATAAAATTTGCTGATCAGCCAGCTTTGATTCACTTGCTCATGCGCCATTCTGAACAATGTGTGTCTTGTGCTCTTCTGTGATGACTTTTCGTCCCCTGGTTTCCCAGCTGTGCCTGTTGAGCGCTTGTGCCAGCACTCAGGTATCTGTATTGACGCTGGCAACACGCATCACTGCCAGTGCCCGCTGGGCTATACTGGGAGCTACTGTGAGAAGCAGCTTGATGAGTGTGCATCCAATCCCTGCCAGCATGGCGCCACCTGCATTGACTTCCTTGGAGGATACAGATGTGAGGTAAGGATGAATGAGCACAGATCAGAGAGCTCCCAGGAGGTGGTGTGGCTGTTATGAGCACTAGTGTGTCAAATTTAGCTGCTTGTGTCTTATGTATACTACTTATAGATTTTTACTAATCACCATCATAGTGTTTATCAATCCCACTGTTTTTTCAGCCTCCCTATGCAATACATTAGCATTGCCCTAGTAAGATATTTTTAAATTGATCCTAAAAAGGCTTGCTCCAGGATTTGGAACCAACAGCCACTTCCAAGGTGCATTATACACCGTCCCCTGCGCACAGTGGTCCCTGGAACTTCCCTGAATATCAGTTGAGATAGGAGAAGCCACTTTGAGGAATGGCTTTCCTGTTTGGCCCATGTCACCTTTGTCTGCTATCACTGATCAATCAACTGATAATTCTCTCTCAAAAAAAATGTTGCTAATCCTGTTTCCACAGTACCCATGCTAAATGTTACGTGTGTGTATTGGTTGTGTATCTTCAAGGAACATGTCACTGTCTTAATGTATGGGCTAATGGTTAGAGCAAAATGTTAACAAAGCAGCACAGACATGAATTCAATACCAATTCAGACTGCCAAACAACAGAGAAGGCTTTGCTTCTTCACTGTTACCTAGATTGTTTATTTCTTTACAGCCAGTCTGGGACTCATTAACTCAGAAGCCTACCAGTGCCAAACTCAAATGTTTACACGTCCATTTATCTTCAACATAGCCCAGATAAGCAGAATTTTAACTGTTTAGGTGCTACCTGCCTGGTATACTCTGTAAAACTATACCCAACATTTCCTAGTCATAGATGAGATATACCCTAGTCTGTAAAGACCCAGCCAAAGCTGCCCTTAGGAGCTCTCTGACCAGAGACGCCTGCTGTTGGGCTGCTGAGTGACATTGCCTGTACCACTAACCTCCCTTTCTGATCCCCCTCTCTCCAAGAGTTCATTTTTCTTCTTCCTTCACCCTTCTTCCTTTTTGGATGGTCTCATCCCACAAGGGACTTCCCCTACATACAAGCCTGTTGAACTGTTGCTCAAATAAAGGTACTGTTGGGTTGTATTCCTTTACCAATCCTGAATTCCCTCCAATTCCTACATCAGCCACAGCCAGCCAGCGCCACCTTCTTCTGCCCCTACTTCTATCTCAGTCAGTTTTGCACATGTACATGCAGTTTTCTGAACCTGGAGGTCAGTACATGCCATACCTTTACTACCACCTGCACATGCTATTTGACTGAGTCATAGAGTCCTTGGACATATGAAGGAATGCATATATAAAAAATGGGAAAAACCAGTACACAGGAGGAACAAAAGTTTTGCACAGGAATCATATTGAAAACAACCCTCATGATATTCAATCCTTATCTTTAAAGTGGCTTGTTTGGCTGGAAGAGAAGTAAGTAAATACCAGTAAGATGGAGTTTGACCCCACACAGATGGTGAGCAGAGGATGTGGTGGTTCCAGAGAAACATAAAAGAACTGAATGAGAAGTGGGACAGGATCACAGTAACATTTCAGATCTCCCTTGCCTTCGTGGTTTGTCTCCAGTAATGATGCAAAATCTCTTCTCCTTTGCTTCCTCCTGGCAGTGTATTCCAGGATATCAGGGTGTCAACTGTGAGTATGAAGTGGATGAGTGCCAGAATCAGCCATGCCAGAATGGAGGCACCTGCATCGACCTTGTGAACCATTTCAAGTGCTCGTGTCCACCAGGCACTCGGGGTATGAAATCAGCCTTACTCATCTTCCATACATGGCCTTTCTCTAAGTTACAGATCCATTCTTAGTGAAAAAAAAAAAAAAAAAACTGACAGTAAAACTAGCTTCACTACAATCATTTAGTTCTGCACCCTAGTAATTCAAATATTTTTTTTCTTTCATTTCTTGCAAGCTCTGCTTCATAGTCTCAATTTGGTCTGGTTGTTTCAAATCTTATTTTTCATAAAACACAGAACATAGAACTGATATAACATTGTAACAAAATTATCCTGGTCAGCAAGATTCCTTGATGCTTCAAGCAAAAGCAGCTACTAATCCCTTGAGTAAATAATACAGCATGTATCTGCTTTGTTTTTTAGCTAGCTGGTTTTTGGTTCCATAGGGTGAGGGAATGAATGAAATGAAAATAGTTGCCTACTTTTATAATTCCAGAGGAGGAAGCTGTTGGTCTAAGGCTGTGCCTACATAAATGCAGAGCATCATTCTGCTGTGGGCATTACCAACAACCTCCAAGCAATTTCCTAGAAAGTAGGAATAAGTATTATTTATTAGAAGAGATCAGTTATGATTGTGTGTATTCTGAGTAAACTGTGAAAAAATGTGAAAGGCCATCAACAATAATGGGAAATTCATTCTCTTCTGTGTCAAAGAGATTGGAAGTTCAGAGAAGTATTTATATTGTCTTACATCTTTGTGTCAATGAATTTTGATAATTTGGTGTCCTAGAGTTCAGAATTTGGCTCAGTTAAGATAGAAAACTACTAGTAGGGTAGTTATTGAAGAATGAGGTTAAAGGGGAAGAGAAAATTTAGGAGAAACAGCCTCTAAATATCTGAAAATTTGTTGTGTGAAAAGGAGAATTGTTCTTTATTCTAGAAATCCATAATTCAAAGAGAAATAGAAGTCAATTCCAGTTCATTATTAATTTATTGCTTTGAATTGTATTGGTTTAGGACAAGCTACAGCTGTGGTGGTAGCTTATTAAACCTCAAATCTAAGAGCTAAACACAAGAGTTATTTTTTTCTGGTTATTCAAATAAACTCTGCTAGGTGTTGTGCTACTTTTCTATATATTTTAGATATGTGGTTTAAAACATTTGGCCTTCAGGGCTTCCACAGGAAAGACAAACTTGCAGAGTCATGTAGCAGCCTTCACTACCTTAGTCTGGAAGTGACATACATCACTATCTTTCACAATGTATTATCAAAAATTATTTAATAATCTCCAGCTGTCTTCAGTGGAGGCTGGGAAATCTGGGAGAATACATATATATTCATCTCTTACTATACCAAGATCTCTTTATTTATTGTCTAAGCCCAAAATAGTTCAAATCATAAGGCAACAAAATTTGTATCTTTTCTAACCCTTTCTTGGTTTTTATAATTGACTGCCTTCCTCCCACCCCATCCCAGCTTTTTGAATATTTTATCCCACTGCTTTTTCACTTCCATGATTTTAATGAGAAATTGGCTTTTATTTGTATTGAAACTCCCTTGTATGGGATATGTCTCTTCTCTCTTCATGTTTTCAAGCTTCTCTTTATCTTTTGGCAATCGAACTATAATAGTGCTGGCATGGATCTCTTTATTCTAGTTTATTAACTAGTATTAACTAGTTTATCCTAGTTAATATTTATTGAATTATTATACCACATTTGCTTGTTTAGATGTGTGGAACAGTATTTATCCTGACTTATCTGGCAATTGGCAAATATATCAGGAGATTCAAGTTCCATAACATCATTATGAGAGTTACCACAATGCCTGTTTTTAATTTGCTATCCTTTTCAACTTTGGATCCTGGCCTGGGTACACTTTTAGTTGTTTAGTTTGAAAACTAACTAACAGTTCTGCCCATCCCTACTATTTTGCTTTAGGCCAAAGTTGCATTTATTTTCATTTGATAGATCTGTTCATTACTAGTAGTTCCATTCTGATGGGAGACTGGGTATTTATGTAAATATATTCTCAGTTGCTAAATATCAAATATTTTGTGAGACTCGAAAGCACATATCAGTTTTGTTTTTACATTATTTTCATTTAACTTCTAAATAGGTGATAAAGTAAAATATGCACATGGACATAGACAAAAATGTATACATGCACACATAGAAAAAGCATGCGTAAAACACATCTTCCCATCCATGTCCCTCTCCCTCCATGCTGAGTTCTCTCTGTGTCACAAACAAGTAATTATCACTTTTAGTTTCTTGTGTGTCTTCCTAGGGTGTCTTTTTTTTTTTTTTCCTTAAGTATTCTTCAGAATGTCTTTATGAGGCTGGGGATATGGCTCAGTTGGTAGAGTACTTGCCTTGCATGCACAAGGCCTTGGGTTCAGTTCCCAGCACCACAAATAAATAAATAAATAAAAATTAAAATAAGAAAAGAATGTCTTTTATACATGGAAGTCAAATATAAAGTTTTTTTTTTAACTTTGAAGTTGGACACATTTTTAACTTGGAGATATTTTCATATCAAAATATAGAACTTTCTCAAACTTTTTTAATGCTGTAGAATTCCCTTTATTGGTGTACCATATTTCACTTAGCCAGTGCCCTAGTAATAGATATTTGGATTATCTTGCATACATATAATTTTTTAGGAATAGAATTGCTGGATTGGATAATATGTGCATTTATAATTTTAGCTGATATTGCTGAATAACAGTGTATCAGCAAACCAGTTTCTTCTCCAAATCCTTGAACATATTCACATTTTAAGAGTCATTTAGTTTTCTTTATTCCTGTTATTTATCTGATCATAATCTGCTCCCCTTTTCCCATTATGCTATTGATCTTAATAGTTTATAAATTAGTGATCTCTGATATAAAATGAAAATATTTTCTCATTATACTTGTTTTTTATATTTTCATTTTCTTTGTTGAGATTTTTTTCATGAAGACTTTTTACTTTTAATCAGAATGAGTTTGTAATGCTTTTCCATAGCATCTGGATTTAAAAAAAAAAATACTTTTCATTGTCAATGGACCTTTATTTTGTTCATTTATATGCCAAACTGAGAATCGAACCCAGTGCCTCACACATGCTAGGCAAGCACTCTACCACAGAGCCACAGCCTTAGCACCTAGCATCTGGATTTTGAGTCATAGTTGGCAATACCTTCCCCATTTTCCGGTTATAATGGAATTATCATTTTTTTTTAATATTTATTTTTAGTTGTAGTTGGACACAATACCTTTATTTTATTTATTTATTTTTATGTGGTGCCGAGGATCGAACCCAGGGCCCCACATGTGCCAAGCGAGTGCTTGATCTACCACTGAGCCACAACCCCAGCCCTCATATATTTTCTTAATAAAGCTGAAATACTGAAGCACTTTTTCCGTATTACTGCTGATTTTTCCTAATATAATTTACTGAATATTTGATCTTTTACACAATGATTTGAGATGTCACTTTTATCAAATTCTAAATTCCCCTGTGTTTGGGGTATTTTTTTTTTGGACTATCTTTTTTTGTTTTATTGTGCTGTTAATTCACCAGCAACTTTGTTTTAATTACTAAGGATATTCTGTATGTTTTCCTTGTTGTAGTTTATTTTTCTATATAATTTTAAAATTAGTTTATCTATTTTAAAAAATTCTGCTGGTAAATTGTTATTGGGGTCACATAAATTTATGAGTTAGTATAGAGAAACCCACTTTATAATGAAGCATCTTCCTACCCAAATCATAGTGTATCTTTTCATTTATTCAGGTCTCCTTTTATATCTCTCAGGACATTTATAAAAGTTGTTTTCATATAGGACAGCATATTCTTCTTAAGATTATTCTTCATGTTTTGCATCTTTTGTAGTTGCTATTGAATATGGAGCCTTAGTTTGCATTTTATTCTTTTTTAAGTCTTGCTTATACTAATGATACTATAAATGCAAGCAATAGGAATATAGAACTTTTTCTTTTGTAACTTCTGAAATTAACCATGAAAGAGTCATTGATTTTTTTGTTTCTTTCTTTCTAAAATATGTTTGAAGATATTCACGTGAGATGACTCATTTACACCTACTATACATTAAAGTTCTGTTTTAGTTAGAATAACCTTTGAACTCTCATCGGGATATTTCTCCTTTATTATTTTAACTAAAAACTTGAAAATATTTATCACTCAATTCAGCTTCAATTTAACCAATATCTTTACAAAGCTATGATCAGTGTATTTACTAAATTATATTGTTTTAACTAATTTTATATTTTAAATTAAAATTAATAAATTAGTGAAAAATTATTGAGTTTTTCCTGAGCTTCTTTTTTTGCCTTTGAGATGGAACAAATAATAGAACCTACTCTATAAGATTCTACTTCTTTGGGTCATGTGGGAGAGATTATGTGAGGCCTAATATATTCTTTCTTTTTCCCATGCTGCTTACCAGGAAGATGGTAGCTGTCTTGGACCAAGAGTGCGCTTTGCCCTGTCCAACCTAAAAGGTTCCACTCCTAAAAGAAGAGTAGTCTCATTAATTGTGAAAATCCCAACAAGGATGGTTGTCTTTTGCTAGAGAGCAGTGATTAAAGGACTTTCATAATTCTTTCCCTCTCCTTTCTCTCCTCCAGGCCTACTTTGTGAAGAGAATATTGATGACTGTGTTGGAGGCCCCCATTGCCTTAATGGTGGTCAGTGTGTGGACAGGATTGGGGGCTACAGTTGTCGTTGTTTGCCTGGCTTTGCTGGGGAGCGGTGTGAGGGGGACATCAATGAGTGTCTCTCCAACCCCTGCAACTCTGAGGGCAGCCTGGACTGCATACAGCTTACCAATGACTATCTGTGTGTCTGCCGCAATGCCTTCACTGGTGAGAACCTTTCCAGCCCCCTGGCCACTCTGCCCCGCGGGGGGCCTTGGTGAGCAGGTTCAGCATGGTGTGACTTATTCTAGAGCCAAGCGAAGCTTTTCCTATGTACAAAAACGACCAGCTTAGTTTAAGATTGCAGTTCTATCATCATTACCATACAGCCCCAGAACTCTTCATCTGAGTAAAAGAGTATTTTGTTTTCAGGAATCTTATATCTAACACTGGTTCCCTGGTCCTGCCTCCTTTGACATTTAATGACTTGAATTACTGGGTAGTTCTTTCACTGCCATCAGGACTCAGAGGAGTTTAGGACCTTCTTAGATGCTTAAGAGAGTGGGTCTGAACTGGGATGTTTAGCCAAAAATCAGTGGATCAGAGTAGGAACAAGAAAGCTGCAGTAGTCACAAGTATGCCCTGCCCTGCTAAGGCTTGGCCTCGCTCCTAGTCTTTTCTCAAGCTTTATTTTTTTCCACCACAGGATATAATGATGACCAAGCCCTGCCCCAGAATAGGGACTTTATCAGCACTTATTAGTCCACTTCTGAAGAAGGGCAGCATGGTGACTTTTGGGGACTTAAAAATAGTTGAATGCATTTAGATGTGGCTAGATCACCAGATACTCAGATTTAAATCTGTCTTGCATTTTCTGGAGTCTGTAGTTGTATCTCCCATGTTGAGCATGTTATCATGATAGGCTGTAGTAGTCTATTTACTAGTCATTTGGCAAGTGGGATACTACTGCATCCCCAACCCATCTCTAGCCGGCCTTCTCCCTTCTTTCCTCATTCCCTTCTTCTCTTCATCCTTTCTTCCTTCCTTCTTCACTGCCTCTCTCCCTTTCTTCCTTCTTTCCTTTCAGTTTTAAAGATATGCTGCCTTAAATAATCTTGGAATTTTACAAAGAATGGGAGGGACTTTGAAATATGGAAGCTATCTGGATGCTATAATCGCAAAAAAAAGAAACAGTCTACTTAGTGAGTCAGTGTGGGGCATGGAAAGAATATGAATAGTCTGTCTACAGGCTCATATTGGCCCCAGTGTGCTTGGGAAGCCAGAGAAGCAAAGATGGCTCCAGTTTCTTTCATTGCCTCTGCGGATGTTTTTACCTGGAAACAATGACAAGCATACAAAGGAAGGGGAAAACAGAGAAGAAAGGTATAGAGATCCACCTTGAATGATTATTCCACTGCCAGGAAGTAGAGTTTGTGCTTATTCCACACTTGTRAGTGAAAGGAATCCCTTGAACTGCAATGGCAGTGAGATGTTGTTGCTGAGCGAGAGAACAGCAGACCCCTGAGTACTGTGTCTTTGTGATACCTGTTCTTGGTCAGTGTCTGCCACTGTGATTTGGAAAGTCAAACATTTGTAACTCTGGTTTCTTAATTCTGAATGGCCAAAAGTGCTACTACTTTAATTTTTTAAAAATCTAAATGACCACAATCCAGATGAGCCCATCTCCTACTATTTGCCAAGAGACCTCAGCTGAGCCCCATGTCCCTTCTATGAGTCCAGTTGCCTGGTTCACTTTCTGGTGGAGCCAGATGTCCTTTGGCTTAGAAATATTTCTAGAGAAAGTCAACTCTGGGATAATGAAGCTGTATTTTAGGGTAAGACCAGTTAAATTACAGAAATGCCAAAATAATTGAAAAGAGACCTCATAGAAAGAAATTCTCTGTAAACTGTCAATGCCTGGTTAGATACATTGGTCCTGGTGGAGATTCTCTTATGAAGTAGAAATATAACAAAATGGGGTATAAAGTTTGTTGAACAGAAGTTGGTAATTAGAGTCACTTCTCATATGCATCCTTTTAGGGTTTGGTTTGGGGATGTGGCTGCTTGTGCTTTATTGTTCAGATGAGAAAGATGAAGGAATTGGTGTGAGCCAGTGAGGGCATCATGTTGAGGTCCATCAAGTGTCTTTCATGTTGAGGTCCATCAAGTGTCTTGCCTTCTCATATCCCTGGAGGCTTAGAACTGAATTCTCATACCTCTTTCTCAGTCTGTGGCTGATTCCCATCCCAGTGGGGTTCTGTTCAGTAACTTGACCTTACTATTTCTGCCTTTTAAAACTGTGTTATTGTTGTTTTTTCCCCTGCCTTGAGGCCGTCACTGTGAAACCTTCATGGATGTGTGTCCCCAGATGCCTTGCCTGAATGGAGGGACTTGTGCTGTGGCCAGCAATGTACCTGATGGCTTCATTTGTCGCTGTCCTCCAGTGAGTGGCCTGATGCTGATTTAAAGAACATTCTCTCTTCCATATGATTTATGACAAAACTGAGATTAAATCTGGGTTTTTCAAGTTCCTTAATGGGGAGTTTTCTCAATTTCACCTCCTTCAGAAGAAAGCACTTTAGGCCTTCCCAGAAACTATGAGTTTCCCAGTCTATGACTAAAAGTTTCCCTTTGGAACACTAAGGGAAAACCACAAGAAGTGATGGAATGTCCCCTTAAAGTAGAGGTACTGTCACTGGCTCTGTGGTTCCACGCCAGAGCAGTCTTACTGCCCTGGTTGGGTGAAACTATTCTGCTTATGTTGTTCCTTAAAGCAGAAAGCAGCTTAATTTCAGCCATTTGTTGTGCAAACTCTTGCCATAGCCAAAAAGTTCCCTAAAAGAGAAGTCATTATGTGTGTGGAGACACCCAAAAGAAACCTGACTAGTAACCTTGACTTGGGCTGAGCTTGATGTGGAAGTCTTCTAGGGATTCAAAACTTCCAACAGGACTCCCCGACCCCTACCCAAAGTCATTATAGAAATGATCTAATAATGATTAGAGAAGGTGGACTTAATTTCTAGAAGTAAGCTCTTAAAGTGAGAGAATTCTACATTAATCTCATGGAACCTTCAGCTCTTATCCACTGGCTCCTCAAACTAGATTGAGGATGCTATATGAAGGGATCTAACCAAGTGTCTGTCTAGTCTTTGTCTCCCTAGAGGTATGGAAGAGAGGGGGTTAGGAGCAAGAATAGGGCAAGTCTTAGGTCTGCCTGCCATCCTCATTTCTTCACCACCTTCCACAGGGCTTCTCCGGGGCAAGATGCCAGAGCAGCTGTGGACAGGTGAAGTGTAGAAAAGGGGAGCAATGTGTGCATACCGCCTCAGGACCCCGCTGCTTCTGCCCCAATCCCCAGGACTGTGAATCGGGCTGTGCCAGCAGCCCCTGCCAGCATGGGGGCAGCTGCTACCCTCAGCGCCAGCCTCCTTATTATTCTTGCCACTGCTCTCCACCATTCTGGGGCAGCCACTGTGAACTCTACACGGCCCCCACCAGCACTCCTCCTGCCACCTGCCTGAGTCAGTACTGCACTGACAAAGCTCGGGATGGCGTCTGCGATGAGGCCTGCAACAGCCATGCCTGCCAGTGGGATGGAGGTGACTGTTCCCTCACCATGGAGAACCCCTGGGCCAACTGCTCCTCCCCACTTCCCTGCTGGGATTACATCAACAACCAGTGTGATGAGCTGTGCAACACAGCTGAGTGCCTGTTTGACAACTTTGAATGCCAAGGGAACAGCAAGACATGCAAGTAAGGGCTCCAGGCTCTGCAGAAGCTGAAGGGACTGTCACTAACACTCCTTGGTTTCTCGTTCTTGCTCCTAACCACTCCAGTGCTTCCACCCAAGCTGCCTCCACTTTTCAGATGGTGCCAGCCTTGTCTCGTCACAGCCACCTGCGCTCTCTCTCGATGACAGAGGGATGCTCATTGCATAACCATCCTTTCTTTGCCTGTCTTTGCCTTCTCACCTGCTGCTCTTTGACCTTTGGGGGGAAATAACATTTGGAAGTGTTATTTCCTACCCTTAGGCAGCCTCTCAAGTAACCTGCCTACAGGATGGATGAAAAGGTCTGTACCTCTCTCTCTCTTCACCAATTCCTTTCCCTTAGACTGGTTTTCCACATCTAAATTTATCTGGAAGCATGAGCTAGATTAGGTCTTTTAAGATTCCTGCTCTCTGTTCCAGTTAGAGAATGCTTTATGGTCAGTATTGTAACTCTCCTATTAACCATTGCATCTAGCCCTAGTTAATTCTCAATAATCTTTGTGAGGCATAGGTATTGTTAATGATCTTTCATATATGAGAGAACTGAGGTATCAAAGGTTAAAGAACTTTCCAAAAGCACACACAGTACCAATGACTCCTACTCTTTTCACTGAAGTACATGGCCAATTGTACCAGATGATAGAGTTATCAAGGGATGGGGGTAGGGGTGGGAGAAGAGAGTGTAGCAAATGATTGTGAACATTTATGTTTGGGGGTCCTAATTCCTTTTCCTAGTATTTGAAAGAGATTATACGAGTTAGATCTAGTATCCTCTATGGAACACCCCCTTCCCCTGCTTACTTTCCGAAGTTGCAGTCGCTCCTGAGAGGGAAAGAAATGGGCCACACTGGTTCTCTGTCAGCCTTTGATGGTTCCGAGTCTAGAGCCATCTTTGGCACCTTTTACTTTCTAAGGCTCTTTGTTACCTCATTTAAGGGGAGCAGTGGATACAAAGTAGAGGAAACATTAACCAGGTTGACTTTGGTTTCACATGTGCAGCTTTGGTTAAAAATCTGAATGAGCAAGAGTATGAGTTGCATAGGAGCCCCCATGTGCCTAATGTGCACAGTGTTGTTCCCCATTCAGGGAACAGTCAGTGATACTGAGTGGCATAGACTGAATGCACTCCACAGTGTCAATGACAGAAAATTCAAAGAAGGCTTCACAGGCCATATGGGTCCTGATATAGGMCACAAAAGATAGGTAGCAAAATCCACAGTAGTTCCAAGTGGAAAACAAAATGAAGCTATGTCTAATTTGAACCCCTTTCCCCGTTCTTTCTCTTCTTTGCTTAGGTATGATAAGTACTGTGCAGATCACTTCAAAGACAACCACTGTGACCAGGGATGCAATAGTGAGGAGTGTGGCTGGGATGGGCTGGACTGTGCTGCTGATCGGCCCGAGAACCTGGCGGAGGGTACCCTGGTCATTGTGGTGTTGATGCCCCCTGAACAACTGCTCCAGGATGCCCGCAGCTTCTTGCGGGCACTGGGCACCCTTCTCCACACCAATCTGCGCATTAAACGGGACTCACAGGGGGCCCTCATGGTATACCCCTATTATGGTGAGAAGTCAGCTGCCATGAAGAAGCAGAAGATAACACGCAGGTCTCTCCCTGATGAGCAGGAACAAGAGGTGGCTGGGTAGGTATCTGGTTTCTGAACTTGTTAAAGGTGAATTCTGTAAAGCTGAGCATTTTGAGATACAGCAGAAATTATAACTCAGCCTATAAAAATACAAAGCTTAGGCAAATAGAAAAGCCCATTGCTTAAGACAAGCCCATTATCCCAGTACTTTTGTTTAAGGATAAAGATTTGCCCTGATCTTGAAAAAGCAGGTGGACTCAAGCAAGTGGAAGGCAAGATGTTGGGGAGGCCTTCTTAAATGCCGGAACTTTTTTCCAGAGTTGCCTCAAAACCCTTTATTAGCAACTCCTCTCTTGTATTAGTCATTGAGTTATTTACAAGACTTTTTACTTAATGACATGTCTCTTTGACAAGGGCAATAATCTTCATTTGTTCTGTCATTCATACCCCACTATTTGTTGGTATATCCCACAATTTTTTCAACCCTTTAGCTAATGAAATATGAATACAAAAATATGGGAGTAGTAGGGCCTCAAATGTACAGGGGCATGCTTTTAGTGTAGCACTCAGTGCCACCAAATAGGTGGGAAGGGATGGAAGAAGACCACTGAAGCCTTTGAGAGGAGGGCACTGAAGGCCAGCCTCCCCAGCTTCCTCACTTAGCTTTCATTGCCTCAGCCAGAAGCCTTAGGTCAGCCAGACTAAGGAAGGTGAGACATTCTTTTGGTGGGAATAAGTGTTTAGGATCTGAAGGGACAGTGTCCTAGTTTCTGAGATCTTTCTGAAGGCAGCATCCCAGAGGTGAATAGTCTGATGCTGAGAGGAGGAAAGAAAGTTTATATAACCCTTCTGACTCAACTTGCTGGAACTCCCTATTCTATCTTCCATTTCCTTTCTTCCTTTTTGCCCTTGGCATCCCACAGCTCTCAGGTGTTTCTGGAAATTGACAACCGCCAGTGTGTTCAAGACTCAGACCAGTGCTTCAAGAACACGGATGCAGCAGCAGCTCTGCTGGCTTCTCATGCCATTCAGGGGACCCTATCGTACCCTCTTGTGTCTGTTGTCAGTGAGTGGCATTGGTGTTAAGGGGAAAGGTCGGGTGGAGAGGTCAAATGGCCCTCTAAATGAACTTCAGGTTGCTATCAAGAGGTCGATGGTTTATATAACAATATCCGTTTCTCTGGACTTTCAGGTGAATCCCAGCTTCCAAGACGCACTCAGCTACTTTATCTAATTGCTGTTGCTGTTGTCATTATCTTGTTCATTATGCTACTGGGGGTAATCATGGCAAAACGAAAACGTAAGCATGGCTCCCTCTGGCTGCCTGAAGGTTTCACCCTGCGGCGAGACTCCAGCAATCACAAGCGTCGTGAGCCAGTGGGACAGGATGCCGTGGGGTTGAAGTAAGAGGGTTGGCCAACAAGCCGCTATCCATAGTAATAAGCAGAAATGAATAGAAAAGCATGTTTTATTGAATCATGATTTTTAACTTCTAAGCTCTGGCCATTAATCACAATGAACAAGGTTCTGAATGACCCATGAGTGACTGAAACTATAGTGTCAGAGTCCGCAGGTGTAGTCATGTGAAAGCACTCTGTGCTGTCACATGGTGCTCAGCTTCTATGTGGCGGCACACTTTTGTTGTAAGCTCTTTCTCAGTGGGAAGGGAAAAGATGGGTACTCTGAAATGTCATAACTCTCTGGCCCATGACCTTTATGTCAGAGATTATTACCCTTAGAAGTAGGTGGGGAAAGTGTTTAAAACCACTCTATTTATTAATGCTGTAACCTCTGTTTTTGTTTCTCCCCTTTATGATTGTATCAGAAATCTCTCAGTGCAAGTGTCAGAGGCTAATCTAATTGGTTCAGGAACAAGTGAACATTGGATGGATGATGAAGGACCCCAGCCAAAGAAAGCCAAGGTAAGCTGGCTGCAGTAAACCACCATCATCAGTCATCACTGGATCACTTTTCAAATTTCTATTATTTGATTCTAGAGTGTTCTAAGTGGAAGGAAAAGGTGGTCACGTTTATGTGTTGCCCAGACAGGTGACTCTCTCAGCTTCTCACAAACAGAGGGAAACTTAGGACATTAATGACCTTGGGTTACCTAGTCATTTTAGAATGTTTTCACGACCTTCTAATAAAACATGCTTTCTTCCTTCGTATCATGCTGTTAGTTGAGTCAGAACTGTTGTGTGATCGGTTTCTTTCATGACTAGATCTCTTTGGGCACCTCTTCTGTAAGAAAAGATGGAATTAACAGTAAAGAAAGCCAGTGGCTACAGGCTTTAGAGGCTCCACATCTTGAGCCCAGGAAACTAAAACCTCACAGAGCAAGAGGTAGATTGGGTTGGAGGCAGATGTGATATTCTTCAATCTTTTCCTGAGTGCTTATTCTATGCTGGATACTATATTGGGAAACAGGCTAATTAGACCTGTCCATTCTGGTAGAGACTGTCACATAGTACGTGTAAGTACTTCACATACTCAGTGAAGTAATGGTAAACAGAGTGTGCTAAAACGACACTCACCTACAAGAGGACTTAATTTCTATTTGAAGGGTAGGTAGCAGTTAGTCAAACAAAGAATGGGAGAAAAACCATACCAGGCAGAGGGAAGGACACAGGGCAGGGGCCAAAAGCAAGAGTATGTTGAGCTTGGGATGAAGAGGTGGGGAGAATTATCCAGATGATGCAGGAGAGCTGAGCAGGAACCACATCATGAAAGCAGTGGATAGTTGAAGTGATGAATGATATAGAGGATCGGAGCAGTATATCAGTCAGCTTTTTCACTGCTGTGACTAAAAGACCTGACGAGCAATTTTAGAGGAGGAAAAGTTTATTTGGGGGCTCATGGTTTCAGAGGTTTCAGTCCATAGACAGCCAGCTGCATTCATTGGATCAGCCCTATTCCTTGGGGCTCAAGGTGAGGCTGAACATCATGGTTGAAGTGTGATGGAAGGACACAGCTTAAGACATTACACCAGGAAGCAGAGAGAGCTCTGCTCAACAATGGCAAAATATATACCCCAAAGGCATGTCACCAGGGTCCTACCTCCCCAAATCTAAACTTTCTTTCACTGACTTACACATGAGCTTTTGGGGAATACATATCTAAACCATAACAAGCAGGAAGAGATAGAAAACTGGATGGAAGTTAAAAGAAATTGTGGGAGACTAGACCAGCAGTCAGCAGCTTCTACTGGGAGTCAGATTGGTAGGAAGTATTGTTTCCCCTCCTAGGCTGAAGATGAGGCTTTGCTCTCAGAAGATGATGACCCCATTGATCGACGGCCATGGACACAGCAGCACCTTGAAGCTGCAGACATTCGTCGCACACCGTCACTGGCTCTCACTCCTCCTCAGGCTGAGCAGGAGGTAGATGTGTTGGATGTGAATGTCCGGGGCCCAGGTTAGTACCTCAAGCCTTTCCCACTTCACTAGGCAGTGCCTGCCTTGGCTCTGTATGATTGTCCTATGTTTGTTTCATTTGGCCATATGCCCCCTGCCAATTTCATGGGTATAGAATCAGCTTGAGGAAATGATTGTTTAAGGAATACAGGCAAGTAGAACTTACGGACTCATAAGAAAGGGAAGTATTTCACATTGCTGTATATAAAGCATGTTGAGAAGAAATAGGCTGATTAAATGGATTTGATTCTCCAAGGATACAAAAATAGTACCCCAAAGCAAAGGACAGAGAATCAGTTTAGTTCCTACCTTATGTATATAATTCTGTTAATATTGGATACTATAAAATGTTGTCCAGTTTAAATTAGCCTAGCACTTAAACTTGAACAGAGCAGCTTATTTAACTTAGAGAAAGCTGCCAGCTCAGAAGGCTCTTTCATTCCCATTATTCTTTACAGAAAAGACAGTATCAGAGGAAAAGCTGGTGAAAAATATAGAACTTATCACCAGTTATTACAAGAAATACAAGAAATTGACTTCCCCTAAACATAATGTTACTCAAATAGAAGTATTCCAACAATAGGGTTAACTTCCTTCTATTCATTGAATACTTTCTGGAACTTTCCTCTTCTACAGATGGGTGCACCCCACTGATGTTGGCTTCTCTCCGAGGAGGCAGCTCAGATTTGAGTGATGAAGATGAAGATGCAGAGGACTCTTCTGCCAACATCATCACAGACTTGGTCTGCCAGGGTGCCAGCCTTCAGGCCCAGACAGACCGGACTGGTGAGATGGCCCTGCATCTTGCAGCCCGCTACTCAAGGGCTGATGCTGCCAAGCGCCTCCTGGATGCAGGTGCAGATGCCAATGCCCAGGACAACATGGGCCGCTGTCCTCTCCATGCTGCAGTGGCAGCTGATGCCCAAGGTGTCTTCCAGGTAAAGAAGCCAAAAAGAATGTGTTTGGATAATGAAAATCTGGTATAGATCTACAATATTTTATTTTTGTTTAGGCATTTAATATCTAATTGAAATCATTCAGTAAGTCTTCAAGAGGTTAGTCATGCTTGCTAGATGGGAAAGAAAGAAAAGAGAGGCAAGCCAACTGACCTGCTCTAGCTAGCCATATAGTGACAGAACTAACAGCAGGTTGTACCAGTCTTCTGATTCTTAGCAATATTTTGATGTGCAAAGATGCTTCCAAATGCACAGATCAGAAGGGAATGAAACCTGTTCCAAAGCCTTTGACTGGTGTTAACTGCTCTAGCTCTCTGGGTTTCCAGCTGCTCATTGGCACTTTTCTTAATCTGACTTGACAGTGTTCTCCTCATGCCCCTTTATTTTAGCCTTTTGAGGACATTAGAAGCATTCTAAATCTCCTTTGTCTATATACTGTAATTGAAGTTGTGATACTTCCCCACATTTCTTCTGCTTTCCTTAGAAAGTAGAGGTACCTCACTTTATGTGGGCCGTTATGTCTTGATGAGTCATTTATTGGTTCATCCATCCTTTCCTTTTTTTTTTAATTACTTTTTTTCATCCTTTCATTTAACAAATATCATTGGTTGACCATGGTAGAATCTTGGACACAAAAATAACAAGTCTCTACCTGCCCTTTAGGAACTTACAGATTTGCCTCAGTTCTGGCTCTTATTTCTTCTCTTAGTTTCATTATTTTTCCTCTCCAAGTGACTGTTTTCTGTACTCCTCTTCTAGATTCTGATTCGCAACCGAGTAACTGATCTGGATGCCAGAATGAACGATGGTACTACACCCCTGATCCTGGCTGCCCGCCTGGCTGTAGAGGGAATGGTGGCAGAGTTGATCAACTGCCAAGCAGATGTGAATGCAGTGGATGACCATGGTAGGGACAAGAGGCAGGAGTTGGGATTCTTACCTGCAAACCATGCCTTTAAGGAGGAGAATCATTAATTATTAATCCTTCTCTGATCCGAATCCATTAGAGATTGACCCATTCTTTCATTTATGAATTCATTCATTCTTCTTCACCATATCATGTTCAGAGACCTGGGCCAGTAGGGGTCCCTAGATTATGTGAAAAGGGAGACTTTTTATAGGGTTTTCGAGCCTCAAAGAAGGCTCATGAAAGGTTCACCTGTGTGGGTTCCTAGGTACACCGCTTTTTAAAAATTTTTAATATTTATGTTTTAGTTGTAGTGGACACAATACCTTTATTTTTTATTTATTTATATGTGGTGCTGAGGATCGAACCCAGGGTTTCGCACATCTAGGTGAGCACTTTACTGCTGAGCCACAACCCCAGCCCTGGTACACCACTCTTGATAGAAAAATGTATTAAAGTTTATTTCATAGGAGGGGAGGTCTTCAGTCTGTGAGCAGGTCTTCAGTCTGTGAAGGGTAGATTCTATTATGTGGAGGTCATGGATACCACATGCAAGTGATCCTGTTACCTGCCTCTGTCTAATGGCTGGGAAGCCTATATTGAAGTCTTCCTAGAACAGAGGGAAAGGAAGATATTACTTTCTTCTCTGTTGGGCCCCATGGATAATTGGCCTCCTGCTGATGTCTATGGAGTTCAGGGTTTCCCTGTACAAGTCAATTGGTGCTTCCTTTCAAAAGGAGTAGGATGCTTATAAAAAATGTTTTTCCTCTGCAGGAAAATCTGCCCTTCACTGGGCAGCTGCTGTCAATAATGTGGAGGCGACTCTTTTGCTGTTGAAAAATGGAGCCAACCGAGATATGCAGGACAACAAGGTATAGTCTGTAAGCTGGAAGCTTGAGGATGCTCATAGCAGTGCCTCACTTATTTATAAAGCCCTTCCCTTTTCTCCAAATTGTTTCTTTTGTGATGAGTATAAAAGAGGCAGGCTGGGCAGGAACTGGGTGCCCATCAAGCAGAGAGTTTGATGAAGGTCCTCTCTTCTATTAGTCACACTTTTCTCATATTTGTTTGATTTTCCTCCCTACTGTTCTTTTTTTCTGTTCTTGGATACCATGATGTTTTCCTGTTTGATTTTCCCCTATGAGTATTCTGTCATGCTTCCCTTACCTCACTCATCTTCTCTCGTTTGCCTCCTCTTTTCCTTTATCTTAGTTCTTTCTTCATGTGTTATTCTCTTCTCTTTTACTCTTTCCCCTGTTTTTAATTTTTTTTAGTTGTAGGACACAGTACCTTTATTTTATTTATTTATGTGATGCTGAGGATTGAACCCAGTGCCCCACACATGCAAGGCAAGTGCATTATCACTGAGACACAACCCCAGCCATATTTCCCATTTTTACTTTAGTTTTTTCTCTTCCTACCTTCCTTATTTGTAACTGTATTTCCTTTTAGAACCTTATGTTGATAAGCTCAGTTCTCTTTTAAGTGAGCCTTTGGCTCAAGGGCATGTTTTATTTCATGAATTCCTCACTGAGGAGGTGCTGCCCGTAGGAGGGAATATTGGCTCTTGGTGAAAGGTGAAATAAGCTTATACATTTTATATATAAATCACAGGTATACATTCAGCACATAGGTAGATAGACAGCATGCCTGTGGTATTAAAATCTCATGGGGGAGGCACTTAGGGAAAATATATCTAAGGGGGTTGAATTTAAAAAAAGAATCAGTAAGACTGCTTGTATCAAGAGTGTTATTAAAAATGTTTGGTGTGGGTCTTTTCTGTAGGAAGAGACACCTCTGTTTCTTGCTGCTCGAGAGGGGAGCTATGAAGCAGCCAAGATCCTGTTAGACCATTTTGCCAATCGCGACATCACAGATCACATGGATCGTCTTCCCCGGGATGTGGCTCGGGATCGCATGCACCATGACATTGTGCGCCTCCTGGATGAGTACAATGTGACACCGAGTCCCCCAGGCACCGTGCTGACTTCTGCTCTCTCACCTGTCATTTGTGGGCCCAACAGGTCTTTCCTCAGCCTGAAGCACACACCGATGGGCAAGAAGCCTAGACGGCCCAATGCCAAGAGTACCATGCCCACTAGCCTCCCTAACCTTGCCAAGGAGGCCAAGGAAGCCAAGGGGAGTAGGAGGAAGAAGTCTTTGAGTGAGAAGGTCCAACTGTCTGAAAGCTCAGTGACTTTATCCCCTGTTGATTCTTTAGAGTCGCCTCACACATATGTTTCTGACACCACATCCTCTCCAATGATCACATCCCCTGGAATCCTACAGGCCTCACCCAACCCTATGCTGGCTACTGCCGCCCCTGCTGCTCCAGTCCATGCTCAGCATGCACTGTCTTTCTCTAACCTGCATGACATGCAGCCTTTGGCTCCTGGGGCTAGCACTGTGCTTCCCTCTGTGAGCCAGTTGCTCTCCCACCACCACATTGTCCCCCCTGGGAGTGGCAGTGCGGGAAGCTTGGGTAGACTACATCCAGTCTCTGTCCCATCAGATTGGATGAACCGTGTGGAAATGAATGAGACCCAGTACAATGAGATGTTTGGCATGGTCCTGGCTCCTGCTGAAGGCACCCACCCTGGTGTACCTCCCCAGGGAAGGCCACCTGAAGGGAAGCATATCACCACTCCACGGGAGCCCTTGCCCCCCATTGTGACTTTCCAGCTCATTCCCAAAGGCAGCATTGCCCAACCAGCTGGGGCTCCCCCGCCTCAGTCCAGCTGCCCTCCAGCTGTTGCAGGTTCCCTACCCACTATGTACCAGATTCCAGAAATGGCCCGTTTGCCCAGTGTGGCCTTCCCCACTGCCATGATGCCCCAGCAGGATGGGCAGGTAGCTCAGACCATTCTCCCAGCTTATCATCCTTTCCCAGCCTCTGTGGGTAAGTATCCCACACCCCCTTCACAGCATAGTTATGCTTCCTCAAATGCTGCCGAGCGAACACCCAGTCATGGTGGTCACCTCCAGGGTGAACATCCCTACCTGACACCATCCCCAGAGTCTCCTGACCAGTGGTCAAGCTCATCACCCCACTCTGCTTCTGACTGGTCAGATGTGACCACCAGCCCTACTCCTGGGAGTGCTGGAGGAGTTCAGCGGGGACCAGGGACACACATGTCTGAGCCACCGCACAGCAATATGCAGGTTTACGCATGAGTCTGCCTCCATTGCAGAGACAGAACTGCCTATTGTGAATGCTGCTGAGGAACATATGAAGGTCATCCGGAAGAGAAGTGAAGAAATCTCTGTAACCAGCTTTTGGAGGCAGGAGAGAGAAGACCATCTTTTCAAAGAAGCAATTTATGGGCTTCACTGAATATCTGCAAAGTTTCAGGGGAAGAACTTGGTTCCTTTTAATCTCTTGCCCACCAAGTCAAGTTCATGGAAATGCAAGATGAATGCAGCCCTTGGGGCCATGTTTACTCTCTTCTATTTGGAGAATAGGATGGATGCCTTTTGTAGCCAGGACGTTCTTGCAGTTTGGACTGCATTTTAAGCCCTGAGGGCTTCTGCTACATCCATGAGAAGATTCTACACTAGAGTCCAGTTGGGAATTGTGCCCTGGAATTCTGACTAAGTTGACCTATCTCATCTTCTCAGCTTGGAAATTCTTTTGCTTCATTTGGTGCTTTCCTTTTTTGCACCTTTCCATGGTTGTAGCCTACCAGCATATTAGAGGGCAAGACTTTGTGCTTTGAATCATTCCTGCCCTGGAAAGCAACTTCATCCTCCCTTTCCCCTCCCACTTCCTCAGCACCCCTCGGAGTCTCACAGGGTTTACTTTGGTTATGGTTCTCAACATAAACCTTTCAAGTATGTTTCTGTAAAAAAAAAAAAATGAACATGTTGCATTCTACGTATATCATTCCTCAAGAGAGAAGGGGAACAAAATATTTTTCTTTGAATAGATTTTGGGGGCAGGAGATCCCTTCAGGAGGCTGCACCTTAATTCTCTTTCTTGCATGCAGAGCTGCATAGAAAGCTCACCAGGATGAAGGATACGGAGTTAATTGTTTTCTACTTGTGGACCTAGTCAGTGTCAAGTTTTATCCTCGGAAGCCTAGGTACTATAACCATACTCCCCTTTTTTGAAACCAGAAAAAGAGCCAGAATGTGGGAATGACCAAGACATAAGCTAACTCATGGAAGAAGCAGTGACCTGGAAGAAGCAGTTACCGCCCCTCCACTTGGGATACCAAGCATCCCATCAACTGCCAGCATGAATCACATTTGTTTGTCCTGGATCTTAGGATGATAGGTCTACTTCCCTCCCTCATCCAGCAGGTGAAGTCAGTCTTTGCTGTTGAGCCTTTCCTTCCATACATCCCCACAGAAGAAAATGTCTCAAACAATTTGTCCTTGCCATTTAGGACTGAACTTTCCTCAGCTCAAGGGACCCAGTGACAGTCATCTTCCTTTGATCACAGTCTGTTTCCTGATTTTCTTTGAGAGCAGGAGCCTGTTTACCAGTTCCCCTCACACTGTGCAATCTGAGTTCCTAGTGCACCCAGTAGGTTCTCACTGGACTGTGTCCACTGCACTGTGTTCCAGCAGGGCATGGAGAGTTGGACTAGTTTCCTAGGGGACAGCTGTAAGGCTGCCTTTGCCAGCTTTTGCTGTCATTTCTTTTGCTCTGAAGCAGTCATGACATTGCCCTTTGGAAGACTAATATAGAAACTTCCCAGGGACCTTTCCTTTGCTAGAGTCACTTTGTAAATGATGACAGATTTCATGCTTTTCATTGTCACCCTCATGTTCTGATTATGATTGCACCTCACCTGAATCTGTTCTCTGAATTATGGTCTTGATGACTTGACTCTCCATCAAGATGAGAAACAATTTAGTCAGCTATAGAAACAGAATGGTTTTCTTCCTCTTCTCCTTGGGTCAATTAATAACTGGCCCAACGGCCACATTGCCACTTCAGTACTATGATGCCTGTGACACCTGGAAAATTAGTTCTTCTGGGGCATTTTGTATATATTAGTAGGGATTTCCTGTTCTGTTTTGGTTTAACAACAGTCCTCATTCATGCAGTGCCTGGGGGTGTTCACCAGTGCTTCCCACTGACCTCATTTATCTGTCTGTGGCTCCCCATGGAAGTCCTTTGTGTCCATTGGCATAGCAGTCTACAAATAGTGTTTTTCCGTCCCTCCAAGTTCATTGAATCAACAAAAGTAATTAGTTCTGACCTGGTACATGAAGATTGTTTGTTTTTTTATTCTTTCATATGACAGCATTCTGTCAGTCACTTTAGTGGTGTGTAAACATTTTATCATTCCAAATGGTGACTCTTTCCTTGGGCCAGTTTATTAATCCAGCACCTATCTGATGCATGGACCATTCTGGACCACTCCACATCTACCCCTCACTGCCCTCCTGCTCCATATCCCTACTGCTTGAAAGTATCAGCCTCTGATCCAATTACTGGATCTTTTAAATCCTTCTCCTTCTCCAAGCACAATGTAAGACTGACTTCCATGTTTTTCCTCTTTGGGATACTTTTCCTCTTTGGGTTTGTGGGGAAGGAATGTGAAAGCTGCCATTATAGACAAGAGGCTTCAGGGGTAAGGACAGCACTGCCTTTCAAATGTTTTACCAATCTCACATCTTAAGAACCATTGAGTTATATAGTTTCTACTAAAAGGGAAGGTAAGATGGATAATCACTTCTCATTTGGATTCTCAATTGGAGACAAGATTTATGGAACTCTTTTATGCCATGCATAGATTCCCCCCTGTCCCCCCACCCCCGCTTTTGGTTTATTTTTATTTTTATAAATTCATTCTTTCTTTGACTCCTTGTCTGCCTGCCTTTGAGGATAGGTTTGTTGTTGTTGTTTTCTTACTTGTGTTTTGTTTTAAATATCTTTTTCTGACTTACATGATGGTGGGAGAGGGAAAGGCTTGAGGGAAAGTGAGATCAGAAGTTAAGGACTTTGGTGTAAGCAATCAGTTGTGATGTTCAGTCCATTATATCATTGTTAAATTTGCCAGTTTGTAATTCTTGCATAGAAAAGAACCAGAGGTGTAGTGTCGTGTTGGCACATGGTTTGGGGATGTGGGTCTTAACTGATACATTGAGTGATGACTCTTTGGGAGGAGACATTTATATGTCCCAAGGCCCCCACCAATAACTGTTTGGTTTCAACTTCTTTGTGTAAATTTCTCTTAAAAGTGATATTTTATCTGTGTGTATGAGAAACCCAATAACCAATAAAATGACCGCATATTCCTGACTATACATGGTAAGGAAAGTGCACGCTTTGTTTTTACTTTTCAAAGTTTCATTCTAAAAGTAGTTAAGGTGAAATTTATATGAAAGCATTTTTATCACAAAATAAAAAGGTTACATGTCAAGCTCAGTAGTATTGCATTTTTTTTTTAATTTTCCAGTCCTGTATCCCTGTCCTTGTGATTATATCATGATGTCATAATTTGGTGAGAGAAAAATAGTTTTTCTTTCATTGTGAATCCTACAGAGCCTAACTGGGCTGCTTTTTTGTGGTCTTCTTCTTCTTTCTCTAATCAGTTCATAAATAAATGTTTTTGAGGGAAAACTTTCCATCAAATCAGAAGCACCATAATACTGAGTCATAATACTTCCATGCATCAAGGTACTTTAATGCTCCCACCACAGCCAGTGAGCAGTGGACAGTTGCTCAGGACAAAGCACCTTCCAGTGGAAATGGGGTGTGTTTGTTGAAGCAAGAATTGTTAAGATATAAATAATAATGAAATAGTATCAGAACCATTGTTTTGTAATATTATTCCTCAAATTAAACTTTGTATAGAACATGGCATATAGTATTACAAAATAGTATTTTGTGCATAAAGTATTTAACATGTTCACATTTGGGGCTGGGGCAGTAGCTCAGTGACAGAGCACTTGCCTAGCATGTGTGAGGCACTAGGTTTGATCCTCAGCACCACATAAAAATAAACAAATAAAATAAAGGTATTCTGTCCATCTACAATTACAAAAAAAATTAAAACAAAACATGTTCACATTTGGACATTTACCTATTATCAGTAAGACATTTGAACATGAATATTTGGTGTTTGTGATATGTGTGGCATTAGCATTCTCATATAAACTTCAGCATCTAGTTTATTTCAGTATTTTCCTGTTTTGCAGAAACTTCTGAATCACAATTGCATACTTAAAAATGCTAATAGTATATGTTAAGTGACTTGAAACTTGTTATGCTTCAGTTTAGCAGATGAGTTTTATTGAAGATAACTGTAAACACAGTTGGTAACACATATTGGTTATTCCCGGTGTTATAATTTCATTAAAAATAAAAAATTGAGGGCTGGGGTTGTGGCTCAGTGGTAGAGAGCTCGCCTAGCACGTGCGAGGCCCTAGGTTCGATCCTTAGCACCGCATAAAAGTAAAATAAAGATATTGTTCATCTACAACTAAAAAATAAAATATAAAAAAACACACAAACCACAATTGACTCTTCATGTTTAAGAAGAAAATTAATTTGAAAGCAAGGAATGACCACCCTGGCAGACTGGCCTCTCAGAGCTAGAGTTGCTACCTGTGCACTTCTTGAAACTTTACTTGCTCGGTGGAAACCTTGCTTCAGTAGATCTGGGCTGAAGGCTATTGGTGTGCTGACAATATCCTACCCCTGCAATATTAAGCCTGGGAGCCTAACCCCCAGTTACACAAAGATCCAGAATGATAAGTTTGGATACCAGATCATGATCATGCTGGGGCAAGGGGTGGTCTCCCTCAAGTCATGCAGCTTAACAGCCCAAGGGCCAGGCTGGCTCCTTTTTCAGAACACAATGAACAGAACAACTCTTCTTAACACCTGCATGCTAACCAAGATGTGATCTGTGGGGAAACTGCAAGCCTATTACTGCTGCCACTGTTTTACAGCCGTAGGGTGTACCTGTCAGGGTATAAATGAGTGTAAAAACAATACAACATTTCCTTTTTTGGCTTAAAACATTTGCAACAATCAATCCCAACTGCAAAGAATGGGCACACTCAAATTGGTATAATTCAAAGAGGCCTTATTTATGAAAGGATTATTACAGAAGACATTGTCAGATGTTGGGGAAACCTGGGGTACAGCACAGAAACCTCTGGCCAGGAACAATGAGCTATCCCCACTCTAGATCTAGAGGGGCAAAGGCTGGCAGAAGTTAGAATCCCATAGTGCAGGTTTCCTCAAGAAGAACCGAGACTTCTGTCAAGGCACCCTGAACCCTAGGCCGCTCAGAAGAAGGAAACCAGGGGAAGAATACCCCGGCCTCATTCTCCACCCCACCTCCACCCTGGGAGGTGAATCCAAGTGGAAGCTTAGAAAGGGTTGCCTGGGGCTGAGAGCTTGGTGGAGAAGGGAAGAGAGTGGATCTGAAGGTACTAACACATGGTCTCCTCAAACATTCTTCCTTCAACTATAATATTTATGAGAAATTTCCACTAGTGGAGTCAGCATTGATATATCAAGGCAGGAACAACAAACTATAAGAAATTATGCATTGGTAATCCCGACTGGAATTCTATTCCTGACTTCTTTGTGGGTTTCTTTATTGCTTTGGCTTTGAGCACCCACCCTGATCATGACCAACAGTAGGCCGGACAAATGATGTTACATTCATTCGAATTTCATACATGGATGAAAGTCAGCCATATGCCATATGTAGCAACACCAAGAATTGTCTTAGACATGATACTGAGCACAATAAATCAGACAGAAAAGAGCACACTTTGTATGATTTCCATTATACAAATTCAGGAAAAATAAAACAATAGTAAATAGAGATCTGAACCATGGATACTTTTGGGGGACGGGCATCTTAACTAAGACAAGAACAAGATGAATCTTGCTGGAGTCCGAAAATCTCTTAAGCAGGTGATGGTTATATGAATGTATACATCTGTAAAAGTACATGTAAAGTTTAGCTTTAAGATTCGTGCATTTTACTTATGTAAGTTGTATTTTAATAAAATACAGAACCTACAGAAATATATAAACACCTAATACAATAAGAAATGTATGTCATCATATTTATTTCAGACTTTTAAAGATGACATACTGCTTATAGCTTAACACTCCTATTTTTTCCTCTAATTCCATTCCCCCCTTTTTTTCTTTCTTCCCTCCTTCCCTCCTCTCTCAGTTACTGGTTTTCATGAATTTTGTTTGCAGGGATGATCTTCTTAAAAACATCATTGTATGTAATATTTCAAACTCAATTGTATGAAACATGGGGTTGAATACTTATGAAGTTAATTAATTAATGACATAAACTAGTGCTTTAGCTTGCTGGGCAGGAGTTCTGAGTTCCGGCTGAATAATTCATATCCATTGGGTTCTGGCTGTATTTGGCACCTGGTGGCATTGGTTTAGGATTGATTCTGGGTTTTGTAACCTCACTGCAATTTTTAAGAGCCTCTTTGTAAATCCTCACTGCTTCATGAGCCTATTTTCACAGAATTCAGGCCATGCAAACATTGGAGTATAGGGACCCAGCCCTTATTCTCTGTAATGGAATTGTCTCATGTTTCTCCCTCCAAAATTACTTTTCCTTGCCTTCTGCAGAAGGCTGAAAGGCAGGGACTAGGCAGAGGAAGGGAATTAACAACTAATCATGTTACTGTAGTTATTGCAAGGTTTTACATGTAAGAATTGGAAGGGAGGCTAATAAGACTGTATACCTGAATGAAACAAGAAAACTTATGAAAGAATTACCATAAACCATCAGGAATTTAATAGAGTGATGTAAAACTAATTCATAGAAATAGATTTTATTATTTAAAAAACTAGTTGGAGGATATATGATTGAAAAGAGGTGCACAATTATAATAGCAAACACACACACACACCACTAACCATCAAAAAATTGCAGACCCCAAATATTAACAAACATCACCCACTGTTTCCTTATCAGGTTACAGCTTTATCAGTTGCTGTTGCTTTATCAATTATAGCTCTAGTTCTGTCCTATTCTTCCCATTTTTCCGCTTTCCTGATTCTCTAGATAAAAATGCTGAATATATCTGATTATGCCCACAACTCAGATAAAATTCATTCAAATGCTCAATTGCTTGAACCCCCACTAATATCACCTAACAAGCACTTCAAATCCTGAGGTGGCCACATTCCCCAAGGTATGCAGCTTCTCTGCTGCAGCACTCAGAAAGGGGCACTTATTTGATTGACTCACAGAGCTACTCCTGGTGATTTTTTTTCACACAAAATATCTTTTATTCTTAATTACAGAAAATCAAAACTGCAATCTAGTACTATTCATAAGACCCACTGATGTCACTTTTTWAAAAAAAAATATAACTATATAGTAGCTTTTTAAACATTTGAGTTCACTCAGATTTGTCAGTTAATCATTTTACCTTTACTGACTATGATTTTACCAAGTTGTGAGATCAAACATTTACAACCACATCATTTTTTTTCCTTTGGTACTGGGGATTGAACTTAGGGTCACTCAACCACTAAGCCACACCCCCAGCCCTTTTTATATTTTGAGACACTGTCTCAGTTGCTTAGGACCTCGCTAAATGCTGAGGCTGGCTTTGAACTTGTGACCCACCTGCCTAAATCTCCCAAGCTGCTGGGATCACATGCGTGTTCCAACACACCTGGTCATCCACATTAATTCTTGACAGAATTTTGATGTCTGATACTATCTAGATATTGAGCGACATCCAATTAAAATATCAGTATACCTTTCATTTACCAAAGAAATTTTATTCAAGTTTCTAAAACAAACTCGAAAGGTTATTCTGGGTTTGAATTGAAGACAAAAAGGCAATTTAAAATATGAAAACAAATAGTTTTCACGTAGTAGGAGTCAAAATCAATGTATATATTCTCCAATCAAACATCTGCCCCATATGGAGTTTTTCAAGTTCTTAGAGAGTCTACCAGGTCAAACCCTTTGCTGCCTTTGCTGCTTTTGCTTTGCTCTTCTGCCTTCCTTTCTCTCACTTTGCCTTCAGTCTTTTTCTTTGCCTCTGGTCCATCCACACGGGGTACTATCCACACTGGTCTAGAGGAGTCTTTTTGTTTCTCTTAATCTCAGCCTCCGTTTTCATGTCGTCTTTTTCGTCTTTCCCCACACACGGCGTTTTCTTCGGGCAATGATTGGGTACCACCACCGTTGCTGTTTCTTTAACATCTTTCATTAAAACATCACTGCCTACTTTGAGAATATTTTTAAGTCTGTTGAGCTCTTTCGGAGCATTCTTTTTCCTCTTTTCAGCCCACGTCTTCCTTTTCCACTTACTCCGTGAGCTTTTAGCCATCTTTTATAAGACCATCTTCTGCAAGCAGCATGCCAAGTGGAAGTCCCCCACTCCTGGTGATCTTTGACTGATAGACAAAAACAAGGCACTGTGTCAAAACTCCCAGACCGAAAAACTCCCAATTCAACACACGATTACAAACAGGA